TCACATGGTCGTGCCTTTTCCAGTGTCACAAAGTTATCTTGGGCACCCTCTTCAGCCAAGCAGAAATCCTCTATCAATTGAACCACGTCCTCCAGCTTTGTCGGATGATTTCTCTGTACCCAGCTCCTCAGACTGCCCTCGAGAGTCGTGACTAATTGTTCCATCACCAACACTTCCAAAATTTCTTCCTTAGTCTTTTCTTCAGGTTTCAACCACCGTACTAAGTTTGGTTTCATCCTCTGAGTCAATGGTCTAGGATGCACTCCCGCCTTTAGATGTAACTCTTGAAATCTTTTCTGATATGCTTCTTCTGTCAGATTCAACGTTTTCAAAATAGCCATCTTCACTGTCTCATACTGGGAAGCTTCTCCAGCTGACAGTGTGTCAATTACCTCTTGAAGCACTCCCGTTAAACAAGGAATCAGAATCAATGTCTATTCCTTCAGCCACCCTGCTGCTATTGCCACCCTCTCAAAGGTATGCAGATACGCTTCTGGGTCATCCGTGGACCCCATCTTCTGTATCCTTATCGGGGCTGGTCCAGTGACCCAGGGGTTCTTAGCCCCCTCATAGCCTCTATTCACTTTTCCCTCCTCGTCCTTTCTGTCCAACAACTGTCTGGCCAGCAAAGTTTGTTGTTCTGTCAGATTCTCGATCAACTTCTGCTTTTCAGTTGTCTGTTGTAACTTCAAAAGATTCCAATTTCCTGTGTTAGGAGTTGCCCCACATTGGTTGCCAATGTGATTGGATTCAGTTTCAGATTTTGACAACTCTTCGTTTTGCATGGGAAATATCAGATGTCTTCTTAACTTCCATAACTTCATCTTTATTGATTACATGCAAATCAATATTATTCATAATCAAATAAAAAAGGATTAACTCGAGCAAGATGCCATAACTGTCCAACACAAATTCCCACCCCACATCCATCAAACTCACAGGGGTGCTGGGCCAAACTTCTCCGCATCAGTGGGTTTCCAAAGGGGAGCACTCCACACTGCACAAATGGTGCCACAGCATGGGTGCCGGGCCCAGTCTCCTTCTGGAGGAGGGGTGTTATAACAAGAGTCTGGGTGAATCATTTGACGTCCTCTACTCTTATTCTTCGGGAGGACTATGACACACCATTCCAGCATCTCTTCTCACCTCGCCTACTCCCTTTGGTGTGGGGTCTGGTAGTAACCCTCCTAACTTAAGATTCGGAAAATCCCGTAATAACTCCTGTGTCTTTACTCTTTCATACTCCTGCAACCTCTGTAGCTCTCTAGCTCTCTCTTACGTTTCCACAACTACCTCAAACCGTCACTCTCCCTGATTACTTACACCCTCTTCCCAGACTGACAAATTTTGCTCCTCCCTCTTTTGACTCCCGCTCTCCTCCAGCAGACATATTTCGAATTTCCCACCTTGCTCTGTTTTCTCTCCTTCTGTAGCTAAGTTCTCCTTTTAGGTCCACTTCTACATCAGCACCTTCCGGCTTCCTTACTCCCTCTTTCACGTGGGATGGCACACTCTCTCCAGGACCTCCTTCACATAAACCCTGTTGAACTCAGCAGGCCCTTCTTGAGAAGGATATATGTAATGTAAATTAACAAAATCTATTATATATGATTAAAGTGGAGTTGGGTTTTGCAGTTTACCAGGGTGTTCTCTCAGGCATGGTAGCATATCTGGCTGTCCTTGCCTTGTTTCAATTTTAAATTTGATTCAGGGTCAGTTTCTCACAGACATACCTCAAAGGTGCCCTCTTAGTAGTGAGAGATAACTGTGTAAGATTAGAGAATTAAAGCATTGCCGAGTACTAAAGAACTGAGTACTAATGAACTCCTTCACCACAATCTAATGCTGAATGCTTGCTTACAACTGTTACCCCAAATATAAAACTTAATTCTCAAAGCTTATTTGCAGCCTACTTGAACTGCTGGATAACTCAATGGTTTAGGTATCTGACTACATTACTAGAGGTTGTGAGTTCAATTCCCCATTGTGTATCCCTCAGAGATGTTTGACCTTATGATCCACTTCTGCAGTTTTTAAGATTATTTTCCAGACACTGAAAAAACACTATTGTTTAGGGAGCATTTAGGCAGAAGAGAGAACGATGTTGATGTAAGTAACCTTTCTTCTTTGTGGCCTGTGAATGCACACATTTGGGTGACTAGCAAGCTTCACTTACTGGAAGGCGGGCCGTCACTCTAATATTCAAGTTAGAACTGCTCTCCCAAATCCTGCTTCCTTCTTGGCCCTGAGGTCTAGTCTGTAGCGTGTTACAAATGTAGACACAGTGGACCAAATAGCCACCTTGCAAATGGCCAGAACATTCACATCACACAACAATACAGTGGACGTTGCCATAGCTCTAGTGGAATGGGCTCTCAAGTGTTCCGGAGGAGCCTTGCCAGACAAACTGATGGTGGAGATAATCCATCTAGAAATGGTTGCAGAGGAAGCAGACGAACCCTTACATGAACCATAAAAGCAGTAGATAGAATTCGTAAATCAGTCCGGGTCAGAAACAATTAATTTTAATAACTTGAAAGAATAGTCAGGAACAGTCCAAGTCAGTACTGAGTAGCCAAGGAAATCCAAAAGCCAAGCTAAAAGAGCAGCCAAAAACCAGTCCAAAGTTGAATGAGATAGCAAGTTCAGTCAGTTAGAAAACACGGGAAGCAAACCAGTCCAAGTCAAAACACGACAGAGTAAAATCAGTAGTCCGTTCGATGATCCAAAGTCAAAAGAGGCAACCAGAGTGATATCAAAAGCATAATCCTAACAGACTGAGTAAAAACAGTTTTTAAAATGCAAAATAATAAACTTTTAAGCCAAGAAGTTCCTAACACCTAGGTGGTAAAATGGAACTGAAGGCTGAAGCGGGTGGAGCATGTGCTATGGGGCAACCCTCGATATTACTTTTTTTCAGAAAAAAGCTCTGGAATATTCCGAGGAGTCCTGTGCCAGCGCAGACTGTAACCCAAATGTGTGCATTCACACAGGCCATGAAGAAGAAATTTGTCTTGTGAGTCACAAAAAAAATCGCAAAACGCTTTTGTCTTGCAAGTTTTTCATTGCGTGAAGCATTCTTCTTGCGAGGCATCACTGTACATGATGGCTTACCATCAGCAGTTGAGTCAGCGGGTCTACTCTATTTTGGACTAGTAGTTGGGTTTGCAATATTATCAAGCATGTCAATTACCACTTTGGTCTAAATTCAGCTGACTGTAATGGATTTATTATGTGTCGCCATGTTGCGCTCAACCTATGGCAACCCAAGTAGGGTTTTCAAGATACTGTATGTGAGATGTTCAAGTGGTCTACCATTGCCACTCCACAGTGACCTTCCATAACTGAAAATGGTTCTGAAGTTTCCTCAGTCCTAGTCCAACACTCTTACCTGCTACATACATAGTATTGGCTTTCAGTTAACACTAGTATTGTAATTGGATTTATGCCTTATTAATTTAATAAGTGATCTAAAGTAGTAAAAAGATTAAAACCTGACAATATATTTCAATTGTGAAAAGTGTCCTAGTCATCTTAATTGAGGTAATAATCATTTGCAGTTGTTAGTCTACAACAGGTTTAAAAGTTGCCACTGTGAAAAAATAATGATGTAAAAACAGTCATTTATGCATTAATTGATCAAGCACTAGTCACTGTCTGTGCAATCAACAATAAAATACTGGTAGTCCTAAGTAATTTTATTAAAGTCAGATTTTATTCAAAAATGTAGTAATTCTAAAAATTATAAATTACTTTCACTTGTGATTAGTTAAGACTTTTTGGAAATAGGGTGTTTTGAGACTATGAATGTGACACCATGAGAAATACAGATCTACGCATAGTGCCACTTCGCATTTCCCCATGGTATCAAGTAGATGTTTCCATGGTCCATGTTTCCATGGTCAGGACAGTAGTAGCCATTTGTTGTGTCAAATATCCAGCTGAAACATACCACCACTGGTTAATTGTACAGGATTTAGCTTCCAGAACTACACCAGTGAAGTATTCAAATTTAGGATCCTGCATATTGTAGCAATCAAGCATACGTACTAGCATTTCCACTGCTAAAACCACTGTCAAACCCTAACCTCCAAAGAGTGATCACAGATACTTAAACTACTTATTCTTGAATAAGTACCTTTTAATGGAATAATCACACGTAAAAACCAAGGACTGCATCATATATCCAACAGAACTTTTATATTCAGAACTAAGTCTTATGTGTAGCCTGCATAATTAACTTGTAATCAGAACTAAGTCTTATGTGTAGCCTTGCATAATTAACTTGTAAACTGCCCAGAGTGTGTTTGAAGTGCTATGGGGTGGTATATGCTAAATAAATAAATAAATAAGCAGCACACTTTGCTTTTTATTTGCAAAGAGGATATAAAAAGGGATTATCTATAATCAGTGTTCCCCAACCTTTTTGGGACCGTGGACTGGTTGGGGGAGCACAGGCTCTGTGCGTGGGGGGGCGGGGGCAGGGGCACCCCTGCACTCACAGGCAGGTGTGTTGCATTTGCGCGCATGGGCGGTATGCCCCTCCAAAAGCGTGACACGTCCACAGTGTGTGCGATCGGTCAGAGATCTGTCTCCGCGGCCCAGTTCCAGGAAGCCCACAGACTGAGCTGTGGACCGGCAGTTGGGGACCCCGGTCTATACGACCCTCTTCATACACTTCACAGCAATAGAATCCTGTAGGCCACCACAGGAAACAGTACAGGGCTAGGCAGACTTTTGGTTTAACCCAGTAAGTCCTTATATGCTTACAGTGTTAAACTAGAACTGTAGCTGAGCTACACAATGGTGCCAAATTAATGGGTAAGTAAAGACGCACAACCACTCCCCAGTAGCAACCAACCAAGCTAAAGGGCCATACCAAAAGAGAGCTCAATTCTAAATTTTAAAAGCTGGAAGATTCCATGCTTTATGGTAAAATAACAAGGTGTTCCAATACACATATTTGCAGAAACAAAGTTTTATTATTTACATAGGCAAGTCTATATTTAGACTAATGCTTTACATTTCTAGAATATTTACATGATTTTAAGATAGTAAATAATGAACAAAAATTACAAAGGCTATTAAAGCATAGCAAAAAAAAAGGGGGGGGGAGAGAAAAAACAACACTGCTTTAAAACTTAGGATCTAAAATAATGTAGAAGAAATGTCAATTTAGCACCTTGGTCATAATAGTCATGCTATGATGTTAACATAAGACACTTTTAGAAAGCAGTAGGGATCTCGGAGGTGACTGTATCCAGAGGTTGCCAATGACAGCTCATAAGTGTGTCAAAGAGTTCTTCACTTCGCACCATAAATTCTCTGTTCATTCTGTGAACATCTATGTGGAGCTGCGGATCTGTTTAAGCAAGCAAACAGCAATCAGTGAACAAATAACAAAATAACTGCAATAGAGAGAGAAAAATTTAAGTTTGAAAATATTGAATAGGTTTGCTGTGATGCTTTGTAGACGAAAAATTCAATGCAAGTAAGAGAAAGACAGACTGCTACTTGTATCCTGAATATATTCATAATAAACATTATTTGCCAAGAGTTGCATCTTCCGCCTCTTAAGTACTCATGTCATTCAGGTTATGTTAGTCCTCAGAAAATCAAGAAAACAAAACAGCCTTTTCTTGACACTAATGATTCAGTGGTTATATTTGAGTGCTTTTCTATGTTAAGAAGTAAAACAGAACAGTATCCACTATTCCTTGTTACAGATCACTTCTGCAATTCAATTCCAAAAATGGTTTGCTTTAGGGTTATGCAAAAAGTGATAAAGGACTGCTGGATGCATGGAAGATCATATGGACTGCAGCCACTATCACAAGCCATCCTGGCATTTTGAAAAATGGATGATGGAACAAACCATGTACAAAGTATAGAAAACCAGGTGTGGTTGCAGAACTTTTTAAAAGTTATTTCCAAGTTAGAGTATGTAAAGCATGCTGTATTTACATATTTTGTGTTGTACTCTATCAGCTACACTGTTACAGAAATATTTTCTGGATTTATACCGTATGCCACAGTATAAGCATTGATATGCTCAATTTCATTATATTTCTAAGAAAATAGGCTGCTTAAGGCTACAATCATGTGCAGAAATCTACCTATAGTAAGCCCCAATAAAGGCAGTAGGACTTACTTCCAGTAAACATGCACCGCTCTGTCTTATGAAACAGTTTTGGATATACTCTTTAGAGACTACTACTTTTGACAGAGGTAACCTGAATGAAACCAGATGAACATGAAATCTCACTATTAATATAAAAATTACCTTCTGTTATTAGATCATCATTCATAACCATCGCTGAAGTCTCCTGAAGGGTGAAAAACATGTCATTTCTCTTAATATCATATGTTTATAAATTTTCAAACATGAGGACTGACAGTACTACCCCTTCCTGCCACCTTTTAAAAGAAAAAGTTATATACAGGACTGGTCCACATGTAATGCTAAATCAAGGTTGCCTGCTATCTGGACAAGGTGGAATAAGCCTAAATAAAATGCTAAGTTTGCTTGCTTCGTCATCCCATCCTCCTTCACAGCCAGAAAAGAGATGTGTGATTGTCTAATTAGCCATGTCATCAGAGATGACCTAGAGATGATGGGAGTAAAACAAATCCTGGTCAGTTTCTAAACCAGCATGTATTTTAAGTAGTGATCTTTGAGCCATATGCAGTGGTGCCTTGACTTGCGACCATTTTGAGTTATGAACAGCTCTGGCCGCAAAATTTTGCTTCGACTTGCGGCCAGAGTTTTGAGTTACAACGAAAAAAAAAGGCAAGGAAAAAAGGTGGGAAATTCAAATTGCTAACCGTTGGTAGGCGAAGAGCCTGCTTCTTTCTGGCTCTTTTGCCCCAACAGTTACAGTGAGTGCGATCAGGGGAGGCTTGGGACTGCCTGGTAAGGTAAGGTGCTGCTTTCTGCTTTTAAAAAACTGTTCTGGGTGGGTTTTGCAGTGTGGTTTTGGACTGGGTGGTGGGATTATGTTTATATGCTGTAATGGGTCTTGCAGGGTTTCCAATGGGTCTTGGGGGGGTTTGTTTTTTTGGGTTTTTTCCCCCATTTCTGATGGGGGATTTGTTTTGTGGCTTCTCCCCCCAATTCTGATGGGTCTTGGGAGGTTTGTTTGCTTTTTGGTTCTTCCCCTCCTTCCAATGGGTCTTGGGGTTTTTGTTTGCATCCTGCTTTGCTTTTTTTGCATTTCCGATGGGTCTTGCACGGTTTGTTTGCTCTTCCCCCCACCTTTAGCCGGAACAGATTAATTGCATTTCCAATGGGTCTTGCAGTGGTATTTTGTTTTTGTTTTTGGTGATTTTTTTTCTTTGGCTGGAATAGATTAATTGCATTTCAATGCATTCCTATGGGAAATGGTGCTTCGATTTATGACCACTTCGAGTTACGACTGGCGTTCTGGAACCAATTAAGTTTGTAAGTCGAGGCACCACTGTACAATGAACGACAAACCAGGATTACTAGAAAGTGAGAATAAAGGCTAGTGTAGTCCTTCACCCAAGTTTATTGGCAGAAAAAAGTGAACAAGAAAACTAAACAAGTCTGAGACTTTGCTCAGGCTATTTCCTATACAAAAAAACATGGTTTAGTCTGAGCTGAGCTGAACTGCTCTAATTGGACGTAGTTGTATTTTAAATGGCACATTACAAGGATAGCATTTAAGTAGAATGCAACTGAATGTCAGGTTTTCTTTAAATAAATATAAAGACAAAGAATTTCCAGCAAAATGGCTCCTCGAAACTGAATGCTAAATATTATAACTTAATAAATTCACTACAACTAGTTAAAGAACTAGACTATGCTCAGCAGCAAAACTAAGGAGTTCTGTGGCATCCTAAACACTAACAAGTTTGATTTGGTAGAAGCTTTTTATGGTCTGAACAAGTGGATGACAGTCTAAGAAAGCTTATGACAAATACTGTATTTTTCCATTTATTACATGCCCCAATTTATAATACACCCCCCCAATTTTCTAACCCCCAAATTAAGAAAACTTATCTTTGAGGATTCAGCCTCTGATCTCGGAACGTCGGACATGTTGGCTGTTGAATCTTGAGCCTACAGGCTCCACCTCCAAGGAGATGTACTCAAATTGGTTTGTTCAGGATCAGGTGACATCAGTTCCATAAGGCTTGTGACTGGAGGAAGCTAAATCTCCTAACTATAGAAAACTAAGCCTCGTGGCTGAAGCAAGACTGTTTAGAGACAAGGTACGTGCCGTTTTGTTCTCTCTTCAGCTATCTCAGCTTACTTCTGTATAATTTACCCTTAATTTTTAAGGTAATGATTTTAGGAAAAAGTAGTGTCTTATAGATGGAAAAATACAGTATTATTTACTCTTTCAAGGTGCCGTTAAGACTATTTATTGGGTTTTACTCCAATAGACCACAGCCTAAAACAACTACCTCTCTAAATATTATTAGCAGGACACATGCTATGATTTCAGCAATAATGCTACTGTCACTTACCCGGGTGCAAGTCCCACTGAACAGAATATAACTAGACTCAAATAAACTTGCACAAGTTTGGGTTGTAAGGGCCTAAAGCAATTGCATAACTACTTAGGGCTTAGACCTAGATTCAGTGTGCCCCTCTTAGTCCCTTCATCTTAAATATCAGCACAAGCCTTACATCACTGCAGTTTTTACTTTGAAAAAAAGTAGGTAAGAACTACATTTAACATACCTGAAACATAGCTGTATTCATTGTTTGTTGTGTCATATTTCCAGCTGGCTGCATCCTTTCGTAAGATGCATAGTTGTAGTTGTAGTCACTATATTCAGCATGATAATCTGCATATTCAGGATAATCTCCATATTCAGGGTAGTCAGCATAGCGTTCACCAAAACGGGTACCAAAGCGCTCAGCATAACGCTCAGGAAAACGTTCACTGAAATGCTCAGGATAGCGTTCAGGAAAACGGTCTCCGAAACGACCACCTCGATCAAAACGGTCCGCACGTTCATATCGATCAAAGCGTTCATTTCTATCATAATTATACTGCCTATAATAGTTTTGATAGTCTTGGTAATAGTCATTATAACTGTAAGGTTGGTACCTCTGAAACTCAGTCTTCAATCTAAAATAAAATGAGATAAGCTTAAGACAGAATTTCTCGAAACACGAATAAAAACAATGAGAACATACAAATGCTTGCATTCTGTCAAAAGATACCAAAAATCCAAATTTCTCCAAAAAAAAAAAAAAAAAAAAAAAAAAAAAAAAACATTTACAAATTGCTGCCATTTAGGGACGGGGATCTCGGATATTTTGGACTGCAATGCTCAGAATTCACTCAGAATTCCTCCAGTCAGAATTCTGTGAGTTGCATCGAAAAACAGAGGTTTACAGGGCAATTTTCATTACCCACATAACTTGCACAGCCACTGGCGATGAATGATATAAAATACAGTCCAACAACATTTGGAGGAAAGTAATTTGCTTGCCCTTGCATGATACTACAGATATATTTAAAATAATACACACTGAGAAAATTAAAATAGTTTTATTTTCCTCTCATCATAGATACGTATGTTCTTCTTTGTGAGCCATAGATGAAGACATGTTCCACCTACTCCTAGGGACAAGCACAGAGCTCACACTGATTGTTTTAAAGCATGCTTTTTAGAAAGCAGATGGCACCTAATCTTAAAACTCTCTTAGAAGGATTTAAAAAGTGAAGGACAAAAGTTAAGAACTGTTTGAACAGAAAGACAGATAAGAACATATAGTGAAAGTATAAGATTTAATCTTTTCTCCCTAGAAGGGGGAGACATCATCCTTTTCCTATTCATATTTAAAATTTAAAACTGGCAATAAAACAATTAATGAGACATCTCACGTTGAACAAGAAAAGTTGATTGCTTCTGTGCATAACTGGTGCAAAATAATCTGCAAAGCATAGATACTAAATGTCTTTTGAGATTGTAAGCAGAATCCTGACCTTGGTGTTAATCGATTAAGTGGCAATAATTATGTTGCTTATTAGAAAAGAAAAAGTGCAAATATGACTCCCCCCAAATATGCACATGGCCCTCAAGTAATCAAATACAAATGACATAAGTGATCCATTAATAATTTATATGAGTGATTTGTTATCAATTACCTTTTAGAAATTCCTAAAGTCAATCGAATTCGTTTCCCACCTAGACCTGGTGCATTCTGACAATCTTGCAATGCTCTCATCATATCACCTTCATCAGAAAATCTGACAAAACCATAACCCCTGCACAGTTTAAAAAACATGTTTTAATAAAATTAACAAAGACATTGAGGATATCCTACTAATACAATTCAGTGTTGTACTCTAACTCATAAAGGGGCATCTATCTTCTGTAATCAATCAAGTAGTCTCGCCAGCAAAATATAGTGGCAGATTACTTTATTTGCCAGCTGGAAGAACTGTACCATTCTGCTTCCGCTTATACCAATTCACACACTTCTCTTTCCTCAGTATGCTTACTGATTATATACAACATAAAAAATACTCTCATGTACTTGTATATTGCATAACCAATAAGTGACATATTAAATCAGTAACTATAGTACACTTCTCAAAAACATAAACATCTCTCTATAGCAGGAGAATGGCCACCATATGGTCTGTAACACTCCAGATCTCAAGCTTTATGTTTTGATTGGTTCAAGACATCAAATGTAAACCTTACTCATCCTTTCACCCTTTTTCTTTGTTCATTTGTTTTAATACTGAACACTTCATTTATAACATTCAATACAGCCATGGCCCTCCCAAGAATTGTCATCTTCTTGCATGGTTTATTAGGCTTTCCTTTGGGAACCGTCAAACTACCAGACCAATCTGACTTTGCTGTCTCTACTGCACAAAGTCACCAGGCTCAGACTGTTCATGTTTTTCAAGTGCATCAGTCAACCAAAGAACTCCAAGTGATGATGTACAGAGAAAAGAATACACAATATCAGGAGAAAACTGAACACTCTTAGTCCAAGCAACTTCATTTTTAATCTTAAACTGCTCCTGAATAAGTTCAAACTATTTATTTCTTGGATGGGGCACTGCAAATGATAATACACTGCTTCTAACCATCAGTACATATACTGTGTCACAGCTTACCTGGAATATCCTAGCAGGTCTGTGGCCACTTTACAGTCTATACATGATGGATACCGTTTGAAAAAGTAGTCATAAAGCAAGAAATCATCCACCTCAGGAGTTATATCTCCTACAAATATTGCAAACTCTGGTCTTGTAAATTCTGGCCTAACAAATTCTTGCCTTGGAAATTCTGGCCTGAAAGAAGTTAAAAGAATACATACATATATCATCAGTCTTCTGCCAGCACAAACCCCAGGGCCCTGTATCCACTAGGTCTCTTTCCACAGTAGATGTGACTCAAATACCTACCTAGAATTGATCCAGCCAACACTTGTTTATCCTTGTCCATGGTGCATTCAACAGCACCATGTACAGAAGAAGGTAACTTCTATGGTCATGTTTGAGCAAGGCTCCTCAAACCACTTTTCTGAAAATCTACCTCACATGAAACCGTATGAAGGCTTTTGCTTCAGCACAACTGTATCTATAAAACTACCCGAATTTTAAATGTTTACTATTAGTTTATCCCCAGTAGTATGTGAAGAGCCCTGTGGTACAATGGTCTGCTCATGACCTTAGTTCCCAGCAGATTCAGGTAGCTGGTTTCAAGTGGACTCAGCCTTCCATCCTTCCAAGGTTGGTAAAATAAGTATCCAGCTTGCTGAGAGGCAAAGTGTTGTTTGCATAACTATGTTGTAAATTGCCCAGAGAGTGCTTTAACACTATGGAGCAGCATATAAGTCAAAACAACAAAAACTAGCCAAAGCAAACTTAAACCACTACTTTAAGTAGCTTATGGACTGTGTTTTCTCTGAAGCTTTCGCTGCGAATTTAGAAGGCTGCATTTAAAGTACTTAGTCCAGAAAACATCAATTAGTGTCCATGAGAAAATACAGCATTCTTTCCTCTACTACAGCCACTGCTTCACCGCCATCAAAAGAAAGCAAACTTACAAAGATAACTATAATATGCTGCAGAAAATATTTAAATTTAAAGTTTTTCTGCAATTAAGTATAATTATTACTGCTACTAAAGCTATGACTTTGTATGATTTTTACTATCTGTTATTTTCTACACTACAAGCACAGCATTGCAACTTTTTTACTTCACCTCTCTGCTTGTGACACACCACTATCTGGACTGCCAATATGAAAATATCCTAGGTAGATGGCAAAAGGATGGAGTATTATCACTCCATTTCTTCTAGCACTTTGAATTTAATATAAGACTCAATCTCTATAGTTCCAATTGAGAAGCCAGCAAAACAGAAACTGAGCTTATGATTAAGTAAATATTTACATTTATGAATGAGATCAACTAAACAATCCTTAAAAATACTGTAATGTTAAGCATCACAGTTGTGTTGAACAAAGAAGTGGGCTATGGATATTTTAAATAAACAGCAACTTTTTCCACCAAGAATACCAATCCAAGTATCTTGTTTACATAGTCCAACAGTCAAGAGGTGAATCCCAATTAAGTTTCAAGTTGCCTTCTGAATAATTATCCTGACAAATGGACATAAATGTAAATATTTAGCTAATTTTGGACAACATTTCACAACTACATGTAGCTTGGCTCTCATTGCAGGCTCAGCTGCTTATTCATAAAAACCAACCATTTGTGAAAACAAACTGTGCTTGCCTATATTCTAATCTTGGTTTCTAATTAAATCTGAACAGTAAAGACATTAATATGTAGTAGAACCGAGATACATTTTTTGGCTTTCTAGCCATTGGTACAGCTGTTGTGAATGTTCAGCATGTGTCTTCCAAAATGATGTTGATATAATACCAAACAAGGGAAACCCGTAAGTGTCAAAGGTGAAAAACAGTCCAATGGGCAAGGCACTTGTTAAATGATACTGAGAAGGCAAAACAAAACTTTCCAGGAAGCTGTAATCAACCCAGCAGGGAAGAATGCTCTTATAGATTATGAATGTCTATCATCAGATGTGTCACCCTTCATGTTGAACACAGTATTCTCCAGACCGTCCAGAAAATGCAGTTTACAGTACTTTTGAATTATTTCATTTCAGATCACTTTAATTAAAATTTGTATCCACTGAGATTTTGAAAGACATTGGGTATATATTAACAATTCTGTTAAACCTGCTTTTTTCTTAATTTAGCTACGTGAAGAGCCATTTTTCTATCCACAAAGCTTTACAAAAGAATCTGAGGGCGATCTAGTGTGTAGATTTTAGAAATGTGATTTAGATCACTACTTCATTTAGATACTGTTACATGGACAAGAGCCAGCTTTTTCCTTGTCAGTTTCAAGATTTCTTCACCTGCTTGGAATACTAGAAAAATCTGGTCTTCCTGCTCTTGCTTTACTCTTTTTCTTCCGTTTTTTGTGGGGGGATCTCCACCACAGAGGCAGGCTTTCTTTTTTGGCCTTTCCCACTGTATCCTGCTAGAATGAAAAACAGTTATACAGTATTTCATCTCAATTACATGCCTCCCTCCCTCTCCCGATCACCACCTTGGTGATTTCCCCATATTCACCTTTCCCTTGACAGAAGCCTGGGGTCCCATCTCTCCCTCCGCCTCCCATGAGGGAAAGCAGCCTCTGGGGGAAATGCCTGGCAAAATAACAGAGCCAAAGGATTGTATGAAAAGCCATATTCCCCTGACTTGGTCAAGCTGGCTATAGGAGTGATTGCTTTTCACGCCAACATTTTGACTCCCTCGGATTCCTTCATTTAAAAAAAAAGGTTAACTGTTAGAGGCTGACCAAGCATGTAGATTAAGGATTGCTTTCATAATAGGATCATACTTTGTATCTCTCTGAGATTTACTCAGATGAACTATAACAGAAAGAAGTCCAGTGTCTGAGAAACAAAGCCAGGCCATCCCACCACCCCACTTATTTTAAAGACATAAATGAGAATTTTGTCTCTTTCTTAAGATGTTGTTCTACATTGCCAGGTAGTAGCCACTATCTCAGGGTAAATGTCCAGGGTAGCCTGAATCCAGGTGGTGGCCCTTATGTCAGGGCAACAGTTTGGGACAGACTGAATCTAAAGCAGAGCTAATGGCACTCGTGTCCAGTTTTCACACCAACAGCATGCAAATGAAAAAATGCCACATTCTAACAAGCAGCCATAATAGGCAGTTATATGGGAAAAGAAAGGAAAGGAGACAATAGCCAAGGCAACATTTCTCACCTTGGGGATATAAAGTCTACATTTTCATTAAAGTTTACTTACATGGATGGTATCATTTCACTTCTACTGCTCCAGTGAAGACATCCTAAATAGTGAGTGTTATAGGAAAGTCCCACCACAAGAACTCACTGGGCAACAGTGCAGAAAGCAAAGCTTCATGTTCTGCCCCAAGCTGCTTCAGGTGACGTGATTAAGGATTCCACAGCAGGGGGGAACAATCTGTCAGAAATTTATCTGAAGAAAGGATAGGGCTAAAACCCACCACCACCACCATCATCACCACCCCTCGCCCAAATAAATTTGCATTAAGTTTGACATTTGCCAACAGCTCTGGGCATGATCATGTCTTCCCTTCAGGAGCTATAAATGTGGCCTCATTTTCATCAGATAATCTTACCTGACTAGCCATTGTTAAAAACTATCTTCACAATAAAATGAAATTTGCTGTAGTGTAGTTGATATTTCAGTGTTCTATGCTGGAAAAAGACAAAAAGAATGTAAGTTTCTATGGAAAATAATGAGGCAAAATAGATGGTACAATAGTGTTTCTGCGAACTTAATGCTTAGTAATTGTGAGAATACACATGCAAAATAACTCAAAATTTATTTATGAAAACAGACTTGTCAACTGTGACTGCATGGTGGCAACAGCTTGTATGAGAAATTAGTTCACTAAGTTACTTCTTAATGAACTGTCAAAAAAATTCCACCAAATAAAGTTTCAATCTTTTTACAGTATATACTATTTGATATTAATAAAGTGGCATAATATAACCTTTCTGCCCAGCAGTTTTACTGCACAGGCATGCACTTCCTTTTAATAATAAAAATGTTACACTGGCAGTATCTGAGGGCTAAGTACAAACAATGGTTACAGCAGTGGCTCCTAGCTGGTGTTATTCTAGCAGTGCAGTTAAACAAGCCAGCTACAATCAGCAGACACTTCACTGTGCAAAGATATAATGCATCCCAAATATATTATGTATGAGAATGTCACATATTGCAGAAAAAAACTATGTGCCATATATATAGCAAAAACCTCAACTACTCTGTCCACCTACTCACAGGATAATGCAGTTGTTATGGACATGCAAGCAACTTAGCACACTATTGGAACTGGCCATAACTTCAGGATCCAAATGTTCTTGTCTTGTAAATCACTGATATCTTGCTGTTATTTTAAAAGAAAATAGTTTTAAAAACCTAAGAGCCGATGTGATGGAACAGACCAGAGCCTCATCTAGCCTGCTATTCAGCTTCCCAAAGGCAAACCAGATGTTACTGAGAAGTCTGCAAACAGTGCCTTGGACCCAGCAGCCTGCATTTCACTACATGCTACCTCCAAAGGCCCATATAGCTAGGAGCCACTGATGAGCATACCTTCCATATATTTGTTTTGTATGATTTTAAAGCTACTTAAACAGCCACCATATTTTTGTTGCAATTAATTTCATCAATCATGTGTTGAGTGAACAAGTAAGATTCTACCAATCTGTAGATTTATTTATTTATTTAATTTATATGCCTGTGTTGAGTGAACAAGTAAGAGTCTACCAATCTGTAGATTGATTCTTCAAGTTTAGACTTTTCTGCCTGGATGTTGCCACGTGTTTTAAGTGGCCAGCATCCTGTTCAACATTTATATGCATGTGAAACAACAGCATCACAATTGTGTTGAAAAAAGAAAAGAATTTGCCATGGTGATGTAACAATATCCTAATCATGCATAACTAGACATGTGATCTGCATCTCACAAGACTGCAGTAACAGCTTCCAGTTTGAGCTCCATTGCACAAATACTAAACAGATTTACGTAGTATTTCTCAAGTTAATAATTTAAATTATACTAATGACTTTTAAATTTATTTCTGCATTCTAGTAATTTATTTACTACCTTTATACTAAAGCATACAAAAATGGTTCACCATAAAATAACTGCAATCTATAAAGCACATAATCATGAATGACTGTGGCCAGGGCAGGATTCTCAGAGTAAAGACTCAGTTGCTAACTGATGGAGTTGGTTTAAATGGCCAACAGGTCTACCTAAGCATCCACCAGACATGCCATATTCAGGAATATTTCTGCCCTGCTCTCCAGTGGCACCATGCATGCGAATTAAATTGAACAAAAGAATCTACTCATAGATAGTTCCTACACACCGCATTAGGTATGCTTAAACATTTAAAAAAATGAATGACAAAAACATTTGTAATTTTGCTCATATTGTAAAGAAGGCATCTAATTGATATAGATTGGCAACGTTTATGTGGTATCTTGTAAAGTATGCATTAATGGAACTAATATATTGTTCCACTCAAGTTTCAGGCCAGGTAATTTAAACTTATGCTCCACTCAAGGTTCAGGCCAGGTAATTTAAACTTATGCTCCTTACTGAACTTACCAGGCAGTGGTCTGTACTAAAGCATCAAAAAATTCTGGTTGCAGATGATGTTATATAGTATCAGGACAAGATACAATCCAGTATATTCCTTGCTCCAATTACTTTGATCATTTATATTGAATTTTATGGTCTTTTTTTTCTTCAGGACAGCTAAACAAACTGTTAATGCAAATAAATAAAATAAAACTTAGAGGCATGCAGTCACAGTTTCATAACAGTACTGACCCAAGACAAAAGAGGGAGACTTTGCTTTTGCTATTCAGGAAACACTTATCCTTTGCCGATATAAACAAATCTGGGGGGAAAAATTCTCTCTTTTGTGTTTTAATATTTGGTACAGAGACTCTGGCATATTTTGAAAGTTAACAAATGAATAATACATAGGAGTGGGGGCTTTTAAATCTAAAACATAGGTAGAAGATAAATCATGATCCATCAGAGAATTTTTTTAAAAAAACCCAAAAAACCTAATTTGTCACAGACTTTCTGGTGCCTCCCAGTTGCAAGGAGTTTTGGAAAGAATGCTACACTAAACAAACCTTGTTTGAACTATCAAAATTCTTATAACCTCAAGCTAGAGCATACAGTCAGGACAACTGGGCAGTAGGTTACTTGAACCTTTAGACCAAGATGCACTCCAGGATAATGTCCACAGGTGAAACTTCTAGGAGAAAAATGCAAGTTGTTCTGAGGTACTCAGCAGGAATTAAGCATTAAAAATACTGTACTATTATCGCTTGCATACAATTTTGTGAATCTAGATGTAGTTATTGTCAAAAAACCCAGATAGCTTCCTAGACTTTCCCAACATAGTTTTAATAACTTCTGCAACACTGAAACTAGAGAGAATATATCAACTAGTGCAAGGGTCTCCAAACTATTGCCCACGTTGCCATTTTGTCCAGCCCGTTCCCTTCAGCCCACACATGTGTGTGAGCACACACACATTCCTGTTCCTTCTGCCCTCAAAAACTGTGGAAGTATCCAGTATGGTCCTCACTGTGAAAATTTTGGAGACCTCTGAACTAGTGTGTATGTGTAGCCAAGCTGAAACTAACAGTTTCAAACAGAAACTAAAAATGACACTAATGCAATTTTCAAGTTGAGATATTTAAACACTGGTTTCACCAGTTCTGTCTCTTCTCGCTTGTGGTTGAGTGGGGATTCAAACTCAGGTTTCTTGAGCCTTAGTTCATCACTCTGTACAGTACTAATACCATGCTATGAAAAACAAAGTGCAATGGCATATACAGTGGTGCCTCGCTTAACGAGTGCACCGTTTAACAACAAATCCGCATAGCCACACGTTTTTTGCGATGTTTTGGGAACAGCTGATTGGCGGTTCCAAAATGGCCACCGGGTCAACAAAATGGCCACCCACAGCGTTTTCGCGCCCTGCCCTCGCTTACCGGGCAGCGAAAATGGCGGTCAGATGGAGGATTCCCCGCATAGCGGTGAGTTTTTCCCCAATGGGGTTTCCCCCCCTCATAGCGACAAATCCGGATAGCAACATTAATCCTGGAACGGATTAACGTCGCTATGCGGGGCACCACTGTATGCCAGAAAAATTGGAAATGGGTTCTTTAAGCCAATACAATCACTGATTTTAATTAGCAAGAAAAAAGGCCAATTTAAAGTTTTGCCAGTGAGACTTTATGTATTTCATCATGCAATACAATGTTGAATCACTCAATCATGTCACCTCATAATTAAATCTGGTATGAACTGCAGTGTTTTCACCTTATAACTAGCCCTTGCATCTTTATACATTTTGCGTATCTATAGATAAAATGGTTGAAATCCTATTTGTCTTATGCATTCATGGTACTGCAATCACAGAAGTCAAAGTGAATAATGAGATCCAAGACATATAACTGGCAAACAAACAAGCCCCATTTTAGTTAGCTACTGTTATTTCTACAACTACTGTACATATGGAAAAAAATACAATTTTGTACATATTTAAAATAGCCACACACAGTGTGTGTGTGGGGGTTATAACCAATAAGTGCTTTTGAAGTATGGGAATACACTGGAATACAGTGGTGCCTCGCATAGTGACGTTAATCCGTGCAGCAAAAAGCGCTGCGAAGCGATTTCGTCGCTATGCGATTTAAAAAAGCCCATAGAAACGCATTAAAACCTGTTTAATGCGCTCCTATGGGCAAAAAACTGACCTTAAAGCGAAGATCCTCCATACGGCGGCCATTTTCGCTGCCTCTAAAGCGAGGAATCCGCACGAAAACACAGTGGGCGGCCATTTTTTTACCCGGTGGCCATTTTGGAACTGCCGATCAGCTGTTAAAAAATCATCGCTTTGTGATGATCAGTAAGCGAAACAGGGAACCGATCATCGCAAAGCAAAAAAACCGCATAGGAAACATTGCAATGCGATCACATAAAGTTCATCGCTATGCGGTTTTGTCGTTAAATGGAGCGCCCGTTAAGCGAGGCACCACTGTACTTCATATTTTTGTCTTTCCTCTGTTGCTTCTCTCCCATGACTGACAAGCATACGCAACAGCTAACAGAGATAGTATAACTATTTTCTGTAAGTAACTATAGGGTTAATGTGAAATACAGTGGAGCCTCGCTTAACGAGCGCACCGTTTAACGACGAATCTGCATAGCGATCGGTTTTTACAGATGGCTAATGCGATCGCATTGCGATGTTTTCAATGGCAAAACATCGCATTGCGATGATCGGTAAGCGTTTCGCTTACCGATCTTCGCATTGCGATGTTTTTTAAAACAGCTGATTGGCGGTTCCAAAATGGTCGCCGGACGCCCAAAATGGCCACCGCAACCATTTTCGCGCCCTGCCCTCGCTTACCAAGGGCGCGAAAATGGCGGCGCTATGGAGGAACTTCGCTGAACGGTGAGTTTGGGGCCCCATAGGAACACATTAAACAAAGTTTAATGCGTTTCTATGGGTTTTTTTGATCCGTTTAGCGATGTTTTTGCATAGCGACGATTAATCCGGAATGGATTAACGTCGCTATGCGGGGCACCACTGTAATCTAGTGAGTAAGCACATTAACTGCAGACCTGATATCAAAACCAGGACAAAGAATCCTGTTGGGATTTACGTGTGTGCAATTGAAACTGTGTAATTCACCTGGACAAATTGCTGATAACAAAGCACCTGTTGCATTATTAGGTGTGTATCTGTTATTCAAATCATTCCTGTGCCTCATAACATGACTGGTGCTCACTAGTCAGCAACAATTTGCAAGTCTGCTTTATGCAATTTGTGAGTTTTTATATTTTTGTTTGTTTTGGTATTGGCTTTAACTTACCGTTAACTGCCCAGAATAGTGCTTTTGCATTAATGGAGCAGTATACAAATGTAATAAATAAATACATAAACAAACATTTGGAAGACCAAACACTTTTCCTTCTAGTCTAGAGATTAGTCCTGTAGTTAATGTGCTCACTCTAAGATTTTTTTCATATTAACTCAATAGTTTCAGAAAATGGACAATTTGTTTACTTTTTAAAAAAGTAAACAGATCCACATTTGTAACAAAAGTTCTTGACACTGCTTCAAATCCTGTTGTTTAGAGAAGGTTAAAGTTAGAGGAGGCCGAATGAGTTAGTCGGGATTTGGTAAGACAATTCCTTAGAAAATTCCACTGTTTCAATAGACCTACTCTAATTGTAACTTACTATGCCATGCAACAGGATTTCAGCCAATAATGATCCCTTCCCCAGGTTAAAGTGAGACTATTTTAAACTGAGTAAGTTTGAACCAAACCATCACTATTTCTGTCTGTTACAGAAACAAAATACATCACAGGCATTTTTCACTTTCTGCTAAGACATCTTAAATTTAAGGACTGTTTAAAATACTGTTTATGCTCATATTAAGCATTTACACAATTTATTCGTGAAGGCTTTCACGGCCGGGATCTAATGGTGGTTGTCGGTTTTTCAGGCTCTTTGCCCGTGTTCTGAAGGTTGTTCTTCCTAACGTTTTGCCAGTCTCTGTGGCCGGCATCTTCAGAGGACAGCACTCTGTGCTCTCTGGTGGAGTGTTGTCCTCTGAAGATGCCAGCCACAGAGACTGGCAAAACATTAGGAAGAACAACCTTCAGAACACGGCCAAAGAGCCCGAAAAACCCACAACAACCATTTACACAATTCTTTACAATGGAAACTATACACCACAGGCCAGCAACAAACTCTGAAAAACAGCCTCTGATTGAACTCTTTTTACTCTGGATTATTTCCTCACCCATCTAATTCCAGAAAATGGGCTAAACATATAAAAATGACTAAATATGAGTTACCTGTTTCACAAAACACAAATCAGAAACTAGATCCACGTGGTGCTGATGATACAGCAACATAAAGTAGCAGTAAACAATAGAAAACTATTTGCTTTACAGATTTTGACTATGGGAACAGCAGAAAGTGAATAGCAATGCAACTTTTTGTAATTAAAAGTGGGTGCATATTTAACTAAGGTTTTCAGAAAAAATGTTTAGCTTTCAGCTCATTAACTTTTAAAAGGCATTCTATTTCTTTAAAAAAAGCTTCATCTATACTAACTACAGTGGTGCCTTAACTTATGAACGCCCCTACCTATGAACATCTCCACTTACGAGTAGCTCTGCTCACAAAATTTTGATTCGACTTGCAAGCAGAGCTTCAACCTAAGAACAGAAAAAGGCAGGGGGGGAAGGCGTGAAATTCAAAGCTTTGGCAGCAAAGAGGCTGGTTTTGTAGCTCTTTTGCCCCAATGGTTAGAGAAGGGGGTCAGGGAAGTTTTTTACTCCTGCAGTGCAGGAGAAAGGGGGGGCTCCACAAGGCGCAGGAAGCCGATGTGCTCCCTGCCTACCCCTGGTGTGGGTCTACTCATGAGTAAGGGCAGGCAAAGGCATGGGTCTACTCATGAGTAAAGGCAGCCAAAGGCACTGGGCTGAGGCTTGTGGGTCAGAGGGGCTATTCCTGGATGGGGCATGCAGCGGTGTGGCGCAGGAGGCAGCTCCCCACTTGGGAATGAGTGCCATCGGAGGAGGCTTCGGTCTGCTGCTTTTTCCTTTTTATTTATTTAACTTATATGCTGCCCATTTTACCCAAAGGTCTCTGGGTGGCTTTTTAGAAATTGCTGGGTGGGTTTTGGCTGAGGGGTTATATGTTTCTGTGCTCTGTTGTTTTTTGTAGCCCCAGCATGGGGATTGTTCAATTGGGGGGGGGGGTTTGCAGCCTTCTAAGATTGCTGTTTATTTTTGGTTGTTTTTTTAAAAGCCCCATTGCCTTCCAATGGGGCTTTCTGTGTAATTTATATTTTGGGTTTTTTTTTAAATGCTGGAATGGATTAATAACATTCCCATGCATTTCAATGGAAAATGGTGCTTCTACTTACGAGCATTTCCAATTAAGAACAGCATTCCCATACGGATTAAGTTCATAAGTCAAGGCACCACTGTACCTGACTTTAAATGTAATTTCTATTTTGGGTTATCTTTTTATTATGTTAATTATGCTAGAATCCCCGTATTTTATTTGGGAAAGCACGAGGTTCCTAAACTTTTAACTCTAAGCCTCTTTATCTGGAATTCAAATCTTAACCGAAGTCAGATTCAAAAATTTCAGTCTGAAGCACTGTTACTTGGAAGTAAGCATCGTTAGCTAAACAGGAGTCACTTTTGAATAAAGATGCCTCAGACTGCAACTATGCGATCTCTCTAAAGCAAAAACCTAGGGGGAGAAAATCTATTTTCTTACGCCAGCTAAGAAGTTAACACGGGCGGCAGGGCCTGTCTTCTTTTAATTTCCTCGACTTTCTCGGCTACAAGCCAATCGGAACGAGGTCAGACAGACTCCACAGGATGAATGATGGGCCACAGAGGAGGGCCGCGATTCTCAGGTGAGAAACGGGGGAGGGGGAGCTCTAAGCCGCGACGAGGCCTCGGGAGGGGCCGGCCGGGAGCCTCCACACGGTAGAGCACGAAGGCCCGCCCTCCCAGCCTGAAACAACGCAGGTTGTTTCCGAGGATGAAGAGCCCTCTTCCCACCCCTGCCCGGGTCGGGGATACTAACGTCTCCGGCCTTCCTGGACATCGTCATGACGAGCCGTTGAGAAATGGACAAGCTCCCTCCCGTTGCTGCTCCTGCCGCCGTCACCGCCCCTTCCCTCCCCCTCAGACGTGTGTCCCCGGCTGTCTAACCAAGTGCCTGTTCCTTTTAGCCACGGTTTCTTTTCTCTCCCTCGCCTCCCCCACCTCCAAACACATCGACGTGTAAAGGAGAAGATAAGGAAAGTGAGCAGCCGAAACGGAATCGGTGTAGGGGGGGGAAGGGTGTGACGGCCCCAGGCGAAGGAGTCGGGGACCATCTTGGGATCAGGCAGTTCCGAGGACACACTCCCGCCACGGAAGCGGAGGCGGCTCTGCGCCATCCTTCGGGGAGCGACAGAGAAAAGGACCCCACACCGCGAGGAGCGGCAGAAGAGGCCGAGAAATGGAGTTGTTGGGCGGCTGCTACGAGCAGATCCTGTTTGGATTCGCAGTTCGGCCGGGCGAGGTAATGTAAAACAAAACCCCAAAAAAGGAGGGAGCGGGCGGTCGCGCGCCGCAGACTTACCGCGAGGCCCCTTTCCTCTCACACAGAGAGACGCGCGCAGCGAGAGCGTCTCCGAAGTCGCGTGGCGCCAACGTGCGCGAGGGAAAGTGCTGCTTCCTTTTGCTCAACGTCTTCCTTCCCAGAAGCCTCCGCGGCGCCTGCTGCCCCGCCCCGCCGGGCGGTGCGCGTTGCCGGCGGCCGAGGTTAGAGTCGCCGCCGATGGGGAGGCGCGCGGTGTCCCGGTTTGAGAGGCCGTTGCTGAGGAACGGGAGCCCCTCTTTGTTTGCGGCCTTTCTAGCTGCCACCGCCCGAAGTCGGAGGCTGAAAAGAGATGGCCCTGCTCGCTCTCTCTTTCTGGCGACACGGCAGAGGACCGCCTTGTTCCATGAGTCTCTGTGGACTGGGGGAAAGCCTCCGTTAGCAGACGTTACGCACATATTTTAAGGGGGCTAACTCAGTGGTGGATTTTGGCTCTCAACCCAACCTTTTAGAAAAGATAAATAAATCCCCTTCCTGTCTTCTCCCATTTCTGGGTTGAAGTTTTCAATTTTCAATTTTTTTTTCTAAGTGGTCCTCCGTATCAGCTGTGCCCCAATACAGTTTTTTTTTTAAATAAATCAAACACTTTCTGTCTCTTGGAGCATAGGAAGTGCTTGGTACTCTTAAGAAACAGAAAGTGTTTGATTTCCCAAAATCATGAAGTGGTGTGTTCTTAAGCAACTTAACAATATGGGAACTTGAAAGAGGAAGGCAAATTAAAGCTGCAAGCTCACATTGGTTCATTTCCAGCAATTGCAAACATTGGAAATGAACGAAAATTGAGTGATTTCACCCTCACCAAAAAAGGAAAAGCACCTGATGGGCCCAGAAAGGTGAAAGTAGGAAGTTTCTGAGGATGGGTTGGTTTGCTTCCGCGATAACGTCATGGGATTGCTAGAAAAGGGAGCACACCAGCACATCCTCACAGCAGACAGAACAATGGAATAAACACCTTCTGATCATACCCTAAGTTATTCATCAAAGTGAACAGTTAACATTGGGAGAGTTTGTTTTGTATGGGTTCACCAAATTTGTCATAACTGTCATGGGTTGGTTGCAGTTCATTGCTGTTCTGCCCACCAAAGCAACAATTGATTTGTAGCCGCAAGCAGTAGTTTAGTCATGATCATATGAATAGTATTGTGAAGGAGGAAAGAGGAGTGCGCCGTCCTCCGTGGAAAGTCATACTGTAGAAGAGGCCGAATGTGTAGTAGGAATATTAATTGACATTGAGCAGACGGAAGTAATATCAGAAAAACCAACGGAGGTGTGCCTTGTGGAGGAAGGAGGGGAGGAGCTAGATTTGATAGTTTGGGAGGAGATAAAAGAGGGAGAAAACGTGCGGGCTTTTAGAATCTGTACGGATGCAAACCCAGAGAGGAGCAAGAGTCGAGGGGTCCAGACTGAACCCATGCTTGGATTTGAGACTTCTGTTGTATGTTCGAAGAGATATCATTTGTTAGACGACCGTATGTTACAGGATCCGTTTGATCCGAAGGAACTAAGTTTTGTAAACAATAAACCTTCTAATGTTGGATTTTATGATGAGCCTCCGACTCTTTTTCCCGCCTTCACCACTAGTGCCCCCCTGGCTAGAGAAGAACTTCCTTACAAGTATGTTGGACCAAAAATTAATTTACGTAAGCAGAGTTGTCTACTTTTGGAAGATGCCATATTCAGTTCCTTGGGAATCCACATCCACCCACCTGTGCTGTGCTTTATCAGCAAGGTTCTCCAATTGTAGCATTAGAGAATAAAGGAATATATTTGTTAATTCAATTTCTGCTGACTCAATTACACATGCCTAAACATGCTCTCAACCCGTTTTTAAACATAGATATGTTTTGGTCTCAACATGTTGTCATCTCCTTAAATGGAGGTGACAGTTTTTGATAGATGTAAAAAAATTAGGAAAATTTCAGGGGGTAAGTTTGAAAGTTTAAAAAATTGTGTTTAGAGTTCTCTATGGAGATTGTGGGTCAATTTAGCAATGTGTTGAAAGATTGTGTCCCCCCCCAAGCTCCTGGGGCTCCCCTTTTGAAAAAAGAAGTAATGGCTACTAGAGGGCATAATGGGCCTTTTTTGTTTTTAAATTATTTTAGAAGTTAAAGTATTTTTTTTAATTTATTCTTGAGTTAACAAATATCCATTGCAGCCATCTTTACTGTACATAATCACTGAATTAAAAACTTTAAATCTTAAGCACACAAAATAGGTTATTTAGTTACACCCCTTTAGTCCCAAGTCTTTCCACATACAGCCAGCAAGTCTAAAGCTTGCTGAGATCACCTTCCTGATATAAACAAATAGCAAATATTTATCCGGTTAGACTGGTCTGTTAAGCATTTATTATTTTTTATTTCTCTTCAGACCTGGGAAGCTGTTCCTGATTTCACTCACCATGCCCACAGTGCTTCATTGTCAGCTGTGGCTGTGAATGACAGATATGTAGCCACTGGTAGCAAGGATGAAACCATACAAATCTATAATATGAAAAAGAAAGTGGAATACGGGGCGTTGATGCAACACAATGGTAAAGAATTTATCTTCCCTGTATTAGCTGAATAAGATGGAACTGTGATATGTGTTAATGAATGTTGATTTTGGTGAGAACTTAATTATAGACAAATTTGAATAGAATTAAAGATACATGCCTTGGTACAGAGTCTGCTTGCATTTTTGGGAATATCAATGAGATCTTGGAGCAACAAAGAGAATTCAGTGTGTGATGCTTCATTCATTACTGTGGCAGTGAGAACTGTTCCAATGAATGCAGAAGTCTGGTCAGGCATATCTCCTTGTACCAGCTGAATTGTCTGTGGAATTCTGGACCAAGGACGTTGGCTGTAATTCACCACATGAGTAAACACACTCATTGTATGTATCTGAAATATCAATTTTTAATTATAAATATATGTGAAAGTAAACACCATGCACATAAACTCCAAGTAAGTGGTGCTTATAACAGCAGTATTTTAATGCATCAGTTTTCTACGTTTATTATTATTATTATTATTATTATTATTATTATTATTATTTTATTGTTATTGTTATTGTTATTAGTTAAAGTATTAATAAATATCCCGCCCATCTGATACGTCAGTATCACTCTGAGCGGCTAACAACATATATACGATTACAGTAATATAAATCTAAAATATCAAGTAGCATAACATAACAAAATCATAAATAATAGATAGATAAGGAAAAATAATAATAAACTAAATTGGGTTAGATGCTGGCAGGAGGGAAGGCCTTAGCATAGAGCCATGTTTTTAGCTGGGTTTATATATATGTAAATTTACAGGAATTATATAAGTGTAGTTACAGAATTTTCATTTTTAAACAGAGGCAACAAACTTTAGTTCAGAATGTCTCTCCTACATTAAATAAAATGAACATGTTCATTTTCAGGCACCATAACCTGCTTGGAATTCTATGGAAGCGCACATCTGTTGAGTGGAGCTGAAGACGGTGTCATGTGTATTTGGAATACAAAAAGATGGGAATGTTTGAAGTCCATTAAAGCACACAAGTAAGTTTTGTTCTCTACTTTCTCTTTAAACACTGATTTCACAACCTACCTTCCTGCTCCTTCCTTACAACATCCCAAACACCCCTTCTGAAAAGCTGTCTAAGAGAGCTAGAGGACCCTCTTGAATGGCATGGTGCAGAGGACTGTAGTGGGTATTGAAAAGTGGGTGGAGAGGGATGTGGCATCTGTTTCAAAACTTTACTCATACTACATTGCAGTAAAACAAGATCTATAGGAAGATTTTGATGTCAGAAGGCAAACTTGTTGGGAGTTTAAATATTAGATATTATTAAATATGTTAGTAATGATTAAACGTATCTAATATGTACAGGGGAGTTGTGAATCACAGCTTTTTTTTTAAATTAGAGGACACGTGACATCTCTTTCCATTCATCCTTCTGGAAAATTGGCTTTGTCAGTGGGAACAGACAAGACGTTGAGGTGAGTCAAAAGGCTTCAGAAATTGGTCATAATATTATTGTATAGTCTTTACAAGAAATTCAATTAAGAATTCGGTTTTGAGAAAGTAGCTTAGTAGTAAACTAAATACTATTAAGGTTATTACAACATACACTTTTGTTGACTAATATCAATTTGGTGGATTCTAGTGTATGAAATGTTATTACTTTATGCATGTTTACTTTTTTTACAGAGCTAGAAGACCTTTTTCTAAAATCAAAATCTTAATTTTAACATCCTTTTGTTTCTTGTGCAATGAATGTTGGATTGTAGTACTGTTTTTAATTTGCAGAAATTTTAGTTCATTACAATCTTACATTTACTATGCTAGTTTACTTGGTAAGGGAGAAATAGCAAAAGCTCAGCAACAATGACTGTTCATTCTCATAACTGGTGTCATTAGAAAATGTTGCACATTTATTTCAGAGTAGACCAGCTCTCCAGTATTCTTTCATTCCCTGTCCAGCAGAGCTCAAACTGTCTCCTACCCTGTCAACCAACTTTACACTGTCAGAATGCATGCACACATACTTTTTTTCTGGGTTTTTCTGGATTTACAAAAACATCTAGCTTGCACACTGAAAACAGTAGGAGCAAGCAAATTAGTCACTCACGTTACAGCTGGAAAATACAGGGAGACCCAGTAGTTTATTATTCAATGCCTCCATTCTTGTTGGGTTTCACATAATGACCTTACAAGCCCCCTGCCTGTAAATGCATTTTCAGATTTCCTGAACTAAAATCTGATAAGGATTTTATGGAGATCTTATTTATGTTGATGTTTTTCAGAACATGGAATCTTGTAGAAGGGAGATCTGCATTCATAAAAAATCTAAAACAGAGTGAGTATATATTTTTTACTGAGCTTACTTCATTCATTCATTCATTCATTCATTCATTCATTCATTCATTCATTCATTCATTCACAGTGGGGTCTTGACTTGAGAACTTAATCCATATTGGAAGGCGGTTCTCAAGTCAAAAAGTCTGTAGGTCAAGTCTCCATTGACCTACAGTGCATTGAAAACCAATTAATCCCGTAACAGGCCGTTTTTGTTCCATTTTGGTTTTTTTCCGGTCTGTAAGTCAATTCTCAGGCTGCAAGTCAAACCTAAATTTTGCAGCCAGAGAAGTCTGTAACTCAAAAAGTCTGTAAGTCACGGGTCCACTGTATCATATTTCACACTTACCTATTACATTGGTATTCTGTCAAGGCACCTACACAGCACAATTAAAAATAAGTTAAAGCAAATAAAAAGCAAATGAAAACATATTAGTAAAATTGTTAACAACATCAGTTAAAATCATGGTGATCTAAACATTTTTACCATGACAAGAACGGAAGGTGGTTCACAACAAGATTAAAAATCAGTACAATGAGACTCAAATTAAGAAACAAAAAATTGTAATGTTGAATCACATTTTAATAAATTATAATGTTTAAATAATATGGAATGAAGAGTCAGGTTAAAACTGCATACTGTGAACAATTGTTTGAAGCATATCAAGAATCTTTTGTATAAGAGAAATACGTCTTCTGAATCTTTGTCTGAGGGAGATGTTCTTTGACATTGCAAGCATATTATTAATGGAAAACGGACAATACAATGCTTTCCTACCTCTTCATTAGAACACTGGCCTAAATTCTCATGTAGTTATGCCAGCAGACTACAGCAGCGAATTGCCTCAAGGAGGAAACCACCGTAGACATGTGCCTCCTTCACAGGGGCTGAACCTAATGATCCATAGGGTCCCTTCCAGCTCTGCTGTTCTAAGATGATGATGACAATGATATGCTGTGTACTGCATACAACAGATAATATTTATAGTGATTTAATTTGAAGCAGTTTGTTCTAAATATTACACCTTTTAATAATGTGCCAGCAAAACTACATGAGAGGAGTTTGTTCATTATTTTTCTCCTGTGCTTTCAATTCTTGTTTTACACATTTTTAATATATATTTCCTTTAGATGCGCATCTTGTTAGATGGTCACCTAGTGGTGAGTTGTATGTGGTGGTTATAGCTAACAAAGTGGACCTGTACAAGCTTGAAACTGCTTCTATCTGTGGCACCATTGTTACAGAAAAGAGAATATCTTCTGTCAAATTTATTACAGTAAGTAGATTTTTTTTCAAAATAGCTAAAGAGTTTTAAATAAGTGGAATTTCATCTATTTCTTACAGTCTTTTTTCTTTTAGGATTGCATACTTGCCATTGCAGGAGATGATGAATTTGTACGATTATTTGACTGTGAGTCACAGAAGTGCCTTTGTGAACTGAAAGCTCATGAAAACAGGTATTTTCTGTTAGTTACATAATAAAAATATATATGCTTTAGCTTAATCTTTGTATCCTTTACAATATAACTTGGGTTATTTGGGTTGTGTTCTGTGGCAGCATATATATTTTCATTAAGAAGGTACCCATGTTGACTGATCTGAATATGAATAAATTAAATATTTGTTCATTGTCCTCTCTGAAACCAGTAGTGCCGTTTAACTGTTGCTGTGTTAATACTATTAAATATTACTATAAATTGTAGCACATATGTTGTGCATTAATAGAATTTTGTTTCACAGTAGTTGCACATTACTTTGACAAAACCTGACATAACCTGTTGAATATTACCAGTTTTCCAAATACTTTCTGAATGGTTGTTAATGTTATTATCATATTTAGTTTCAACTGTTGATCCACAGAATAAAAGAAATCTACTGTATCGAAAAAGAAGGCTTACATGTTCTGGTGACAGCATCAAGTGATGGATATATTAAGATGTGGAGTATTGATCTTGACAAGGTTTGTATATTACTGAGCTCATTGCCTAATTCATAGAATAATACCTAGGATTGTATTCAATATTATATTAGAAAAATGTACGAAATGCAGTGTTTTTATATAGCACTCCATAGTGCAGTGCACTCTCTGGGTGGTTTACAGTAACGCATATAAGAAGGAAGAAATAAGTACAAAACAATATACAGATACAAATTGACAAATCAATCAGTCAACCAATAGAACCACTAACTAGCTAACTTATCTTTAAATAAATAAAGAATGTAAAACAACAGTGGGTATCACAGGTACAAGAACTAATAAAAGGCAGCTTTAAATAATTCTGTTTTTACTGACTTCTTAAAGACTACAAGAGAATGATCCTGGTTAACCTGTGCTGGACATTTATTCCTGAGGTGTGGTGCCACAACTGAGAAAGCCTGGTTTCTGGCATTTACTCTTTTGGCTTCCCTTGGTGCTATTGTTTTTAACATCCTAAACTGTGAAGAATGGGCTGGACAGGTAGCTATTTGAAGAGAAAAGATTCCATCAAATATTGAGGTCCTAAACTGCTTAGGTGATGACCATGGAAACTAACAGGGAGCCTATGGAGATGCACCAAGACTGGAGAAATATGGTCATACCTGTTGGTACCTCAGTAGACTGGCCACCGCATTTTGGACCTGTTGAAGTCTCTCTACTGACTTCAAAGGCAGCCCTTCATAGAGAGCATTACTGCAGTGTATTCTGAAGATTACCAAAGCATGAACGACTGTTGTTGGGCATTTCCTCTCCAGGTAGGGGTGCAGCTGGGTACTGCGTCAGAGTTGATGAAAAGCAGTCTTGGCCACAGCAAATACCATGTTTCCCCGAAAATAAAGACAGGGTCTTATATTAATTTTTTGCTCGCAAAAACACAGAGGATGTTTTTTTTTTCATATACAAGTTACAATCTACAGTGATGCCTCGCTTAACGAGTGCACCGTTTAATGAAGAATCCGCATAGCGCCCCGTTTTTTGCGATCGCTAATGCGATCGCATTGCGATGTTTTGAATGGCAAAACATCGCATTGCGATGATCGTTAAGTGTTTCGCTTACCGATCTTCGCATTGCGATGTTCTAAAAACAGCTGATCGGCAGTTCCAAAAGGGCCACCGGAAGAAAAAAATGGCTGCCCGCTCCATTTTCGCGCCCTGCCCTCACTTACTGGGTGGCGAAAATGGCGGCCGGATGGGGGATTCTTCGCATAGCGGTGAGTTTTCGCCCCATAGGAACGCATTAAACGGAGTTTAATGCGTTCCTATGGGTCCCCCCCCGCATAGCGACAAATCCGATTAGCGATGTTAATCCTGGAACGGAGTAACGTCGCTATGCGGGGCACCACTGTATATTTATTCAAATACAGTCATGTCTTCTGGTTGCTGCACAGTGATGGAGGGCGTGGTTTCACTTAACTGGGGTATATTTTTTTCAGTAGGGCTTGTATTACAAGCATCCTGAAAAATCATACTAGGATTTATTTTCAGGTTAGGTCCTATTTTCAGGGGAAGTGGTATCTATAAAGAGAGCTGAGTCCGAGAATTAACAGCCTTGGCCAGCCACTTAGCCAGAGTCAGCAAATTTACTTTCACTTGACTTATACTTTTCTCCAGTTTTTGTCCTTGTTTAGTATAGAAGAAGGCAGACAGTTTTGAATATCAAAACCATTTATAGTTTTTTGTCTAAAGTTGATCAGTTGCTTATTTTTAACATAACAAATTCAAAATAAGAACAATCATAACATCACTGCTTCATTTTATTTTTAAGTAAAGTTGGTTCAGCCCCGAACACAGTTCAAATTTTTCATGTGGCCCCCCTATAGAAATTAATTGCCCACCCCTGGACTAAGGTGTAATAACAATAAACATTAGCAGAATTTTCCATCCTTCATGTTACTATCATTTTGGGCACATTGGGTAATTTTCTTTGTTTTTAGGGGTTAAAATATATTAGCTTGGCTGATCTCATTAGTTCATCTTTGTGTCATGCCGGGCTGCTTTCCCAGGCAGATTAATAAAAAGGTGCTTGCGGCTACACTTGGGAAATTTAGCTATTACTAGAAGAGGAGGGTGTTGCGTACTCTAGTTTTGCTGCTTCACTCCACTACCCCATCATGTTTCTTGCAGATCATAGCATGAGGGTAGGAGGGGCAATTGTTCCCTCTCTGTGCCCCTCCTTCCCAGTTTCCATCAATGTCCAAAACAGATGGATTTAGAAAGTGTAAAACATGATTAGCCTGAGCCCTGTCCATTGCTTGGTCAAATTGCTATGTCTCTTTAGGACTTATGGCTGTTGTGCTATGAGGGGTCTGTTTTGTGGTCCTGACTGTATTAAGATTTAAGAATCCATTAAAAATGACAGTATAGCTCTTTGGTCAAGATTACTCTTTGTCTCTCTATATAGTTGTGCTAGCATTTCAAGAGACATCAGGTTTTTTTTAAAGGAACCTATTGGAAATATAACCTATTCCATCGATTGGTCATTCATTTGCATTGCTGCTATCGTTACCTTCACAAGACTTTTTATGATTCATGGATTTGGTTATGGAAACCTGTTGTTTTGGAAGCTGATGCCATACTAAATGAGTTAATCTTAAATGTAGTATGGATCTGCTTAGCTGCTGCAAAGTAACATTACGTTTCTGAAATACACATAAAACTATCCCTCTTTTTTTCCAGATTAAGAATGCCCCATCATTGCTATGCGAAGTCAATACTAAGGCGAGACTCACGTGTCTCGCTGTGTGGCTCAAAAGGAATTCTGAAACAAAGGAGACCACTACTGATGCCTCAGCATCTTCATCTCAAGGTACCATAATACTTATTTGAAGTTATCCTGGTTCAGTGATATCTGAAAATAGATCATTTAATTATTGCATGTATAAATGTAACTTCCTTTTTTTCCAGTTCATGAAGCAGAACAACCATTGATTAAGAAGAAGGAAATTGGTTGGACTAGTCACGAAAAGCCATCAGATAGAGATAGTCAAGATGCCCCCATTAAAAGAAAAGTTCCAGATGTATATCAAAAGAAGAAAAAAAGATTAAAATGAATTCATGTTCAGTATCACACTTAATATATAACAAGTTTTATCTTTCATTTTCAAAACTTTTTTCTGTTTAAAACGGCATGACATTTCATTTATGATTATTTGATTTATTAATATGAAAAGTAACAATTTTATTTAATTTAAACGATTGTCAGAGTTTGTATTTTCAGGGGAGAATATCTTTCAAAAAATTTTTGTAAAAAAATCTGAAACTTCACATTTCGGTAGTAGTTAAATTTGTTTGGTAAGCTGTTAATTTGATCCTGGAGCTTATGGATGCATTTTTTAAATTGAAGTTTGTTTAATTCTATTTTGATGTAACACCTGTTGAAGTCAGATGGGGCATGCCTAAATACAGAAGGAGGTGCATATAGAACCATGTATAAATTATCACCAGTGTGACTCCATTTGTTGTCATGTGCCATCAAGTTATGTCCAGCTTATTGCGATCATGGTACAATGTTCAAGGTATGTGATATATTCAAACAGTGGTTTATCAGTGCCACACATCTCCAGTAAGGTTCCATAGCCAAGAGAGGTTTTGAACTTGGATATCTTGAGCTCTAAGCTGGCCATAAAGTATGTCAAGTATCTGACTGAAGAGCCAAAAGTGTTGGGAGTTAGGTCCACCAGTGTGCATCCAAGGAGAAGAGCCATTTTGTGTGGCTTTGGGCAAGCTGTACAATCCCAGGACACCCTCAGAAGAAGGGAACCATAAACCAATTCTGAATATTCTCTACCTACAAAACCTTGAAAAGGATCATCAAAAGTCAGAATTGGCATGATGGCACATTACCATCATCCTCTCCTGAGCTGCAGTCTGTCACTGTACCCACTGCACCATGCTGGCAGCTCTTATTTCTAAAACTTCTGTAATCTGTTATGTTAATGGAACAATTATGTCTCAAATACCAAAAGCTCACTAGTATACTTTCTTCAAAGTACTTTTACAGGTGCCAAATTGTATATTTTGTTTTCCAAATCCTTTTCTATTTCTTGCTGTTTGAAACAAAACATTCACTTTTAATTAGGAAATTGTGGCTTAAATCCTGTTTCTTAATTATGCATGCAGAAGGCAAACAGCATACCAGTTGCTTTTCACTGGCAATGAATGAGTTGCCATTAGAATTCTTGGGGGCATGTACACCCACTGCCTTGGTACATGCTTGAGAATCCCAGTGGGGCCTTGTTAATTGCTAGCCAGAAGCCATTGGAAGGTACTGCATCCCTATTTGTGTTCCACATGCATAACTAAACAAGGACATTGGCCTGTATATTTAGGTAGTTTGCTGGTCTGTTTGCTCCAATAAGGAACAGACTTATTTGTACAAAAAATATATACATGGAGCCCCTTTTCTACTTTGAAAAGACTATCCAAGTATTGACTATAAAGCAAAGCAGTATAGCTAAAACTTTCATAGTCACTAATACTTACGGTGTGGGATGCCTATCACAGGCACATCCACCAAGGAACATTACCAGTAGCCTGATTCTTCTTGCATTAAAATGAGTGATACATTTGTAGTTCTTTATATTTCTTGGGTTACTGCTTCCATCCCTCTTCACGTTTGGTTTTGCTGGCTAAAAGTAATGAGAGATGAATAGTGGAAAATTTTAAACTGCCAGATGTTGCGCATCCCTGCACCAGTTGGGATGGATATTAATTTTGCAAAATGATATCATAAACATGTAATGTGGCAAAACTGGATTGACTAGTGTTTAGGACCACATCTTTCTGCCATTGCTAGGAGCAGAAATGTTTCATGAAAAAAATTTATTCGCATACAGTAAGTGAATTGGCTTCTAGATTCATCTGAATACTAGGTTTAAGAGGCTTACACGTTGAGTGGAAGACATCCTGCAGATACATTTATGACTTCATGAACCACAAAATAGTAATAAAAGATGTAGCCAAACTGTAAAAAAACTAGGAACAAAAGTTTAAGAAGAAGGCTCAAATATAATACCGTAGTACCACAGCTACAATAGTGCCTCGGTTTACAAACGCCTCGGTTAATGTAATTTTCAGTTTACAAATGGAATTCTATTGAGAATAATGCCTCAGTTTACAATTTTTTCCTGCAGTACAAAGGAGGCTTCCCCAGGATGCATCGTGCCTGGAGGGTTATAGTGCAGCCCTATGGTTTTCCTATGACAAACCGCATTTCAGTTTACAAAGTTTTCGCATTACGTAACGTCCTGGAGAACACATTAAATTATGGTTTAGGTCTTAACGTTGGTGGGATGCCTAGAAAAAGGACATCTATAACTACATAGAATATATGGGAAGACATATTTACCCTATAAAGTTCTAGCAGTATTAAAAAAAATTAACTGCCATTGTTGTATCCTATTCTTTTCTGGAGAGCTCTAATGCTATAGTTCAGGAGAGGACTACTGTATAACTGGTGTAGATATGGCCAAAATAATTTGAAAGTTGACATAGTTTATTTTTTTCTCAACTGGTTTGTATTTTTATTCTGGCCCAGTGACCCCAATGAGATGTATGTCCTTTTAGATTCAGTCTGCTAGTTTAGTTGAAATGCTAAGTGACTAGTTCTGGGGTTTTCTTGTTAGGTGTTAATGACTGTGACTGCAGTTCTATGTATACTTGTAAATGGGCATACTGGGGTTTATCAATAATTAGGGGTAGCATTACATTGTGGATAGCAAAATACCTAGGTGCTGTCTTGAAAATGAGATGTATAATATGCAAAAGAAGAGCTGCACACACGTAAAATTTATTGGTTTTCTGGATTTTTTTATTACAACAATATTGTAGCCACTGCTGTGCTTTGATATTTCTAACTGATTTCTTGTCCAATTTATGCATACATCATGCATACATGACACCCACCTCCTTTATACTTTATACATTTTTGGTCCATTTTATCTGCCTGAAATAAAAACAGACCTTTTGTATTTTCCACTGAGGTCCACTGCTATAAAAATTATTTAATTAATAGTAGCCTCTTCCTGCTAGTTTGTACTAGCATATAAGACAGTTATATCACCCATGTTTGTTTTAATTTAATTTATGCTCCTCCATTATTAACAGTAGTTGATAATTTAAAATACTGTAAATAAATACTGGTTCAGGGATTGAAGGGGCCTGTAGAATGGTTACTCTTTTTTGCAGGTCATTGAGTAAGATATTCTTGTTTTCAGTCTTTCTCCACATTGTTGTATATACATGCTAAAGGGGTGCCCAGGGCCACACAAAAAGGGTAGGAATCTTAGTGAAGCTATTTGAAGCAGAGAAGGCAAACACGGAGAAACATTAGAGGTAGAAGGAAGGAAGAGGAATTGAAATACATGGGAGAAGATGCGGGGGCGGGGGGAGAGATCTAGAGGTGAAGGCAAGACTAATAGAATCCAGAAAGAAAAGATATGGGCTATTGAGCTAGCAGAGATGACAAAAATGCGTAAGTAGATAAATTAATAGAGCATGGAGATATGTGGGATGAGGCATATGCTTAGGAGCACATCCAGTTATACACTTCTCCGTTGAATTGCATCGGCCGGAGAAGTATGGTTTTGGTTATATAGTGTTTTTTCCTCAATTGATCAATATTCGGAGAAGTATGGTTTTGGTTATACAGTATAGTGTTTTTTCCTCAATTGATCAATATATCAATAAATAAATATTCAACAAATACTGTACCCCTAGCCACCCAGACCCCCAGGAGCTCAACACTTGAAGCTGCTGGAGTGGTTTACTTGCCCCTAAAGACAACATCTCTAATTCAAGCTCCAGTCGTGGTCATAAGGATCTTTAAGGCTCATTACACATCAGAGAATCCTGACAGAACTAGGGTGAAGGCATAAGAGTTATATGCGGATTGTGAAATACGTGGGGCTCCAGTGCCTCTAACCCTAGCATTGTTGAAGGAAGAACTGTATTGTATAATCCTAAATAGGTTTACTTAGAGGTCATGATTAAATTAAGATGTGCAACCAGTAAAGTATGGTTCAGATTAAATCCAGCCTTGACCCTACTTAGAACAGGACCCTCGGAACAAGTGCAATTTAAATCAGGACTAAGTAATTTGTGGGAATTCTTCTACTCCAAATACGAGTTATTTTTGGATTTGACTCTGGTATTACAGATTTATCCGTAGTCTAGATGTGCATAGGATTGGAAGAAGTTCCATTATAAGGACTTACAGAGATAATAGGATATTACTAATTATATATAAGGCGGTGGGAAATCTTATGTTATATTATATTCCATTCTATTCTATTTGATGACTGCAAAAACTCCACAACCATGGAAAACGTATTTTAAAATCACGGAAACGAAACGGGATTTCTAGTTCTGTTTCTTTTAAAATACAAGCGAGAAACATATTAACGGGTTTCAAAGGGGGCGATTGGACATAATCGTTGAAAAGACGGGGCGACCCCCGGCGCGTTCTACGGCTCTTAGGGACGTCTCTGTTCCACGGCCAGCCAGGCTCCCTCCTTCCCCCTTTACCTTCTTCCACCAATCAGGCTGGCGGAGACAAACAAAACCTAACCACCTTTCGTCGTACGTTTGAGTCCGTTGTTTTTACTATCGGGCAGAATCATTTGCGGCCAATGGGCGCGAAACTCAGGGCAATGCGCTGCTCGGCCACGCAGCTCCGATCCCTGCGCTGATTGGCCCGTGTCACGTGCGTAGCTCTTTTACTTCCGGAAGGAGCCGAGGCAGGGCTGCTTGTGCTTGTAGTGCGCGCTTTACGGGGGCTGCGGGACGGCAGAGTAAGTACTGTATGTAGTTTTGTTGGGTATACATTCGTTCAGCTTCTCCACGGGAGATAGCAGGCAAAACCAAAAGGAAAATAAAAAAAAATAAAGAAGTCAAAAACATTAAAGGCGAGCTGTTATATTTTGATGTAAATTCATGGGCAACTCCACTTTAATATTTTTAATTTTTATTTATTTTGTTTTATTTTGCTTTTGCGTCATATGCTAGCCCAGACTAACATGGCTACCTCGGGAAATTGTTAAGGTTCCTTTCTCAGAACAGACTCCCGTAGACTGTTGAAATTCACTGGGCATATACGATTTTATTCATCGTGGATCTTCGGTGCTTATCGCACTTGGCGGAAGGGGGACACTGTTGCACAGCTTTGTAACCTAAGTTGTGAATGAGACTATTGAGGCTTCATGTGAACAAGATAAAAATCAGATGTTTTTCTCAGTGTGAAAATTTACAAGCTCAGTAAAATAGTATCTGGATTCTGTTTTGCTAGGAGCAGACTTGGGATGGATTTTCAAAAAATATATATTTAAAATAAACAAGATTTGTTTGAATATTTTCGATAAAAAGAATATATAAATGCAACACATGAGTATCAACTGTGATTTTATTTTGAAAGCTAGCTGGAAAATTCTGGCCTTTAACATTACTGATGATTGCATAAAATTAGCATGTGCACATTGTATACATGGGTTTGGAATTTAAAAGTGTTTTTTTGCATTCATCCCTGGAGTGCAGGATCCGGCTTTATCTTTGCAACAACCAGTGTAAGAATTGTGTATGTTACGTTTTCATGTTTTCCTTACTTTTTTGCCTGTCCAATATTTGGAGGGCCTCATTTAGGAAAAGTGTGGTTATGAGAATATCGAACTCTAGTCTTAAAGCCTGATTCAGTAGCTGCTGGTAAGCAGGCTTGAAAAGATTACTTAGATTTTTGTTTCAGTTTGTTGAGTGTTTTCCAGAAACAGCCCTGTGAAATACATATTTGCTATTTGCATATAAAGAAGACTTGATCAAATTAACTTACCAAAACCATTTGGTGAATCTGAAAGTGAACTATATTAAAAACAACAACTTATAAACTTCCTTTTAAACAAAGTGTTCTCTTTCCACTTCCATGAAGATTAAATGAAATGATAGGGATGGTGAGCAAGAATATGCAGACTTGTAAAGTAACCATCTGCATGTAGCAGTCAGGCATAGAGGAATGTATAGACTGTAATACAATTTTTTAAAAGGCTGCCAATATACCAGATGTAATTCAAATAGAATGTTGCAAGTAAGCTCTGTGATTTCTGTGCAAGGCTGATAATATGAATACTCGAGTGACACTGTATATCCTAGATGCCAAGAGGGAAGGCCACACTTAAGAAAATATAATGCACAAGAGCAAAACTGAAATGTGTTTGTGTGTGTGTGTGGCATGTTGCAGTGCTAGAACTTCCAGCACTTCCAAAAGCCCATCCAAACCCTAACCCAATTTGAGGTTTGATTTGTCTTTTCAAATAGGTGGGAGAGAAATTAGAAATGCTCAGAAATACACATTAAATTTCTTTTCATGGTGGGCTCTGACAAGCTGGTGATCCTGCATATCCTGGTTCTTTCCTGTGCTCCACCATACCACCAAGGAGTCCCTTTTTGCCAACTCCTTGATACTGGCTTGGATACTTGGACACCGGAACTTTGTCAGAGTGGGACCTGAAATATGTGCACAGGAACAAGATTTAAATGTAAAATCAATTTAAAACTTTTGATTTCCTGTTGAGGTCAAGATAATGTGTATTTACTTATTTAAAATATTTTTACCCTGCCTTTCTCCTTAGAAATGACCCAAGGCGGTCCACATCATTGACAGGCTATGTTTAAAGTTGAGAACAATGAGTGTACAACAGTAGTTTATATCAATGGTTCTTAACCTTGGGTTACACAGGTGTTTTTGGACTGCAACTCCCAGAAGCCTTCACCACCAGCTGTGCTGGCTGGGGTTTCTGGGAGTTGCAGTTCAAAAACACCTGAGTAACCCAAAGTTAAGAACCACTGGTTTATATCATTAAAAGCCAATATTTAAAGCTTAGACGCAGCTTACGTGATTAAAAGCCAGTATTAAAGCTAAAAGCAATAAGTATACAGTACTAATATTAAAAAGGAACCAACAAGTACCACTCTGAGAAATGGAAAATGCAAGTAGTACTAAAAACTCAGTCAAAGCAGTAATGCATAACAATCCATCTAAAAGTCACACTCAGATAGCCAGTCATTGAGGGAATCCTTGCTTGAAGAGAAAGATCTTCGCCTGCTTAGTTTAGTATTCCTTGTATTGCCAAAAGAGCAGTGAAGTTCCTGGTATGTCCCCTTAGATACAATTCCTATTAAATTTGGATTTCAGTTTAAACAAATGTTTTGTTTTTTCCAGTATTTCAGAATGGGATTGGATTGGATTGGCTTCGGCTATGCAGCATTAGTGGCTTCGGGTGGGATCGCTGGCTATGCAAAAGCAGGTATAGTATTGAATGTATCTTCAAGGTCCATTGTTTTTTTTACAATTAAATTGAAACCCTGCAATGCAATGTTACACACATCTTGTTAAAAGGAGCAGTTGAAGGCTGTCTCTTCTTTTTTTGATAAGAAACTGCTGTTACTAGTTCTTGGTATAGAATGCTAATCTGCTGTTACAGTCAGTGCCTTCTCCTCCTATTGAATAAGTGTTTTGGAATGATAAATTGGCAAAGAGCTATCTGTTTTGCCATATGAGTAACTTACTGCAACACCCTAATGTTTTCATGGCACAAGCAACTTTGTTTATCCCATCTCAGACAATGCTTGCTAAGGTCTCTAGTAACTTATTCTCTGAACCTTTGTATGTTGAAGACAGTGTGACACACTGCATTGTGAACCTAACATGTAAGTAAACAGTTCACATTATCATAATTCCCTAAAACAGCCTGCCTGGCTTATGTCCAGTGGGGGACATTGGCTGATGGAACTGTTTCCACCAGTGGAAGGGGGAAGGAGGTGATCTCCCCTCCCCACTGCACCTTCATCATGTTGGGAGACCTTCCAGAGTTGGTTTTCAGTGTTGTACAACAAGGGGAGAAGAAGCTTCTTATGCTGCAATTCCAGTGGATGTTGGATTATCCACAGAGGAGAGGTTCCTGGTTGCACATAGCCTCTCCACACAAGCAAGAACCCTAGAAAATTGGGATGGGTGCTTGAGTGAGAAGCACACATGACTAGGAGCTTCTTTCTTGAGTGGAAAATGTGAGAAGGAAGACACTTTTCATCTGGAGAGGAGGGGCTAGGTGGTGACTTCTAGGCAAGTTGGCAAGAACTGTGTAAATGAATACAGGCTTCCTAGAAAGTAAACCAGCTTGTTAACAAGCTGAGCACCTTTTCTCTTGTGCCCTGTTTCAAAACCTGGCTGAAGGCATTATATTGTAACTGGTGGGGATGAAGGGCATTAAAACAAAGGGATAGAGAAAATGGGAATAATCTGACTTCTAGGACATGTGTTGCCCACTTTGCTTCTAAGATTCATAATTTCAGCTTCAAGTTTCAGAAATTTCAGGAAGTGGGTGGTTTGCTTGAATTTATGGGACAAAAATCAGTCCACAAAAAGTGTGTCTGTTGATTTTATGCAGATCTTCAATTTCCTCCAGTCTTTGAAACTCTGACTACATTGATTATACATACTACATTATGTGCCCCTCCATTTCTCCCCAGACTTTAACTTAAAAAAATTATGGAGAAGGAGATGGAAAAATATGTCTTCTGAATGGTTCATGCATTTGGGGGGGGGGCTCCCCAGGCTTAATCAGTTTCTGTCTAGTAGATGTATCTACAAAATAAAGACTCTCTGCTGCTAGCAATGGCTTTGGTTTCAGAGGAAATTAATGTACTCTCCCGTCCCATGGCTTTTTCAACAAATGAATAATTGAACAAGGGTTGGTCTCCCAAGAACTGACAGCAGCTATACTAGAGATCAGAATACTGCAACAAAGAAAACCCCAGGGACATATTGTTCTCTGAGCTTTCATGTATCTCTCCCATTTGCCCCGATAGAAAATCTATGTATTGATTTGCAGTAAGATTTTATATGTCAGTCTTTCATCTGATTTTACTGCTGCACTTTGACAAGATGGAATGATGGCTAGATAGGTGGCCTTTGAAACTAAGTATCAAGGATTTTCTTGAATTATGATCCGTAATGGACCTAAATGAAAGTGGGCCTTCATTCCTTCTTTTGTCTGAATTCTTTTATGTTTAAATGACAAGCAAATGGAAGAAAAATGAAAAACTTAATAGGTCAACCTTGTGTCCTAAGGGTGGATACATTTAGATTAGAGCACTAGCATGTACTAAAAAAAATTATGAACTGCACTTACAAATTGACATCCTTTTTGCATCACACCATTGTAGGGACAAGGGTGAAATGATGAGACAGAAAATGCAAAAGGCTACACAAAATTGCTCTTGATGCTTTGGTTTCAATTAGGTTTGACCTATAGATAGAACGAGTGACATTGGCAAGATGTAGTGAATGTTCCCTTAAGCCTGGTTAATAGGACTGTTCAGTAGTAACCTAGTGTAGGGATATTTCATCAGTTTCTTTTGCAGGTCATTTGCCTCTATATATAAACTGATAATTGGACTAGAAGCAGTCACTTGAGCCATCTTCCTAGAATAGTGCAGGATTATCCTTTGTAAGAGTGGTGTAGTCTTAATGGTTCATTTTAAATGACACCAAAGTAAAAGTTGAATTTTATCAAAATAAAGTTTGGGAGAAAAAGGGAGGGAATATAGAAAAAGTACCGTATTTTTCGCACCATAAGACGCACTTTTTTCCCACAAAACGGGGGTGGAAAGTCTGTGCGTCTTATGGAGCGAAGAAAACAGATTATATTTTCCTGTTTTCTTCTCCTAAAAAATTGGTGCGCCTTATGGAAAGTAGGTATATTTTTGTAACAGCATTCTGTTTCTTCTTCATAGGTAAACAGTGTTTTAGAGAAGTCATGGTTTACTTGGTCTGGATGCAATGTCAGGGATAGAGAGGCATGTAAGTGTGGTTTTATGCAGAAACAGCCAAATTATTGTTGGTTGTCGCATGTTAACCAGGTCTTAAATCAGCAAACTCAGTACCCTTTTTCATAATGTCAAATAGTACAGTAATCATACCGTTATTAAGAAGGGGAAATGTAAATAGTCCACAATGTTACCTCTTCCCTACAGCACTTGCACAGACATAAAGCTGATGGAATAGATATCAAAGGCCTCATCAATCTAGGTTGTAGTCTATAATTTTATAAGATCCATTTTTAATATTTAAAACATGAAACCAATTTTTTTTAAAAAATAAAGATGTAATCTTCTCTTTTCAGTCTTCATTTTTGTCTTACTGTGCTTCTCCTTCCCCATGTCTTTTTGTTTTTTCTTCTTCACTTGCCAACACCTTTTAAAAGACTGTAGTGTCACCTGTCTGTTCAAGCGTGGTATCATTTGTTAGATTTAACTTAGCAGGTAAAGATCAGTACTACAGGTTAAATTAAGATTCTTTAACTACAACAAATCAGGGCCAGTTTAAAATATTGCACTTCCTGAGGTGAAGAACAAGATGGCACTCCCTTCCATCCCATCTACAAAACCTCTCTGGATTGTCGGTTGGATGTGTTGTCGGTACTGAAGTGGGATGGCATACCCTGCTGCTTGTAAGGAGGCTACACAGCATACAGTTCTCCATTGTGATACCTCTCTGCTGCCTCCCAGCATCTGCTGCTTGACGTGTCTACCCCACTCTGCCTAATAGTAGGGCTGGCCCCACATGAGATTGTTTTTTTAGCTGGTAATTAGGTAGAGTAGAGTGAATGTTTCTGGTTTTATTTCCATATCCATGGTGTACGTGCTGCTTGACAGATAGTTTGTCTTTTATTTCTTCAAGGTAGTGTCCCATCTTTAGCTGCTGGTCTTGTTTTTGGAGGGTTAGCTGGACTGGGAGCTTACCGTCTGTCTGAAAATCCCAAGGACATTTGGCTGTCCCTGAGTAAGTGTTGTTTGATAGCATGTCTATGTAAAATATATATAAATAGTTCTTTTTAATATATTTATTAAAATATATTCCTATGCATAGTTTCATTAACTTTGTATAACAGCAACAAAGCCATTTGATAAAATCTGCAAAGTTAAGTACCTGTTTTCATTAAGGCACTCATTTAGACTATATCTTAGGACATTCTGTGTGTTGCATTTTGAAGCAAGAAACTGCAGAGCACCAAAATGCAGATACATAACATAATTCAATGGATGAATCCACACGTCAATAGTAAATTAAGATAATCTTGAACACAGAGAGTGAGCCCCACCGAACATAATTGGACTTACCTTGGAGTAAATACATTTACACACTGTAAAATGGGTGGGAATATGAGGGAGAAGTAGATTGCTGTTGATCATTTGTAGCATCACAGGTAACATTCAGTAGGTGACTGTGACACACACACAACCACATTCAACTTATCAGATGCTATAGCTGGGGAGGAGCCAGTTTTTTGATTGCAAGACAGCCTGAATGTTCTGTGAAGCTGTTCCTTGGATTAGAGTTTGAAAAAAATTAGTTTCTTAGACTATAGCTCCTAGAGTCTGTCAGCTGCTCTTGCTCTAGCCATGATGCTTGGTCAATTGCAGGAATTGCCATAAATAAAATTCAAAAATCACACAACTTTCCCCAGCTGTGCTTGTGCTGTTCATGGAAAGTAGGCATAGTAGGATGAAACTAGAGTAGGCCCATTTGAATCAATGGAACTTATAGAGGAGTTGGCTCACTAAATCCCCATTGATTTAACGGGTCTACTGTACTGCCGTTTACTACACTAAGCAGCAAGATCTTGACTGTTATAACATTTTTAGAATAAAATATTTTAGGGCTAATGTTATGAGGCCCTATAACTTATTATAATTTACTGTCAGTATAGCTTAATCCTGCCTTGGTAGACATTAGTGCAGTTTTCTGACCCTTGGGTCTCTTTCGGTTTCTGAGTGTCAGCATTCCCCACCTTGCACTCAGGTTGGATTGCAGTTCACTTCATCCCCAGTCACTCTGGTTGCAAATTGTTCTTCAGTGCATATGGGAGTGTAAGGTTACAAAAGGCTGTTGCATATTGGGGTGCTGTTGTTTTTACCATCCACTACAGTCTTGCAGTCCCTTCCAGAAACACTCCCATGAGATAAATGCTCCTTAGTGTTTTGTTTTGTTTTGTTTCCTTTTCTTTCAACCAGTTGCTTCTGGAACCTTAGCTGGTATTATGGGCATGAGATTCTACAACTCAGGAAAAATTATGCCTGCAGGATTGATTGCTGCTGCAAGGTATTAATGCTGTATGCTTTTTTTCTCTTAGTTTTAATAGTAAGCCTTCAGTACTATGCATATTTGCTTAGCTCCATTAAAATTAGTGCGATTTACTTCTAAGTAGGTACACATTGGATCAGGTTTTAATGTTGGTTTTGTTCTTAAATTATATTCTGATCCTATGTGTGAATAACACCTTTGAAAAAGTAGTATTGTTGTACATAATAGTCAATATCCTGTTGCATAGCTCTGCACATGCAATGGGAGTGATGTTACCAGATATGGCTTTTTGTTGCTAATTAAACAATTCCTTTTTTAAATTTTGGATTGTGTATGACTTTTTATCATTGCACTTGAGTTGCAAAATTGAAAAAGGATTTTTTATAATTAGCAGCAGTCTGCTGTAGCTGTTGACATCACTCCTGTAGCAGAGTGATGCAACAGATGTTGGCCATTAACACTTTGTATTTAATAAGATCATATTAAACAAAATCAGGTTAATGTTGAACAGACCTGTGGCTTTGTAATCTGTGGGTGCTAGCCAGCTCCCAAGTTGTTCTTCTCTTCCCCCTCCTATCTTGCTCCATTACCTAGATTTCTCTTAATGGCAACTTTAGCTAATCACCTATTATTCTTTGATGCAAAACGAACAGGGTGCCTTTATTTAAATGTTTCCAGGAAAACAAAATCCACTTGCAGCGAGTAGAAGTCGGGTGCTTTTGTACTGCTAGAAAATGAAACCGTAATTAGCTGTTACATATTGCGTGGTGTCAGTTTGGCAAGATGGAGAGTTGAGATGACACCAAAGTGGGGCAGTCAGCAGACATTAGCTGTCTTCAGGTTCCTTGCTTGGTGGTTTGAAATCTACAAGTGTGGAGGATAACTGGGGTGGGTGAGAATGGGATGCATGTTGGGCTGCCTCCTATTGTCTCCCTGAATGTTCACTGCTGCATTCTTCCATCTGCAACCTTGTCATGTTGGATACAAAAATCTGAAGGGATGTTCAGCTCACCTGTTTGTTTGAAAATGAGTGGCGCGCTCTATAGTAAGAGCCCTTGCTTTATCAAGGAGTGTATCTGCACTGGCTGTACACTCCACAGCACTAACGCACTAGTGCTTTCTGGCAGAGAATTTCAAGTATCTCATCAAACTACCAATCACAGAGTTCCATAAATTGACTGTTAACGTGATAGCAACGTGTTACGACTGCAACAACAGCAACAAAGAGGTGTATCACTTTTAAGACTAACAGATATATTTCAGTTTGGTCTTTCATGGAGTACAACCCACTTCTTCTGTCACTGTTCTGCACATATTTTTCCATGAATTTTGGATCACTTTAGTCAAGAACTAGTCAAGATGGCTATCTACATAAACTCATCCTGAAATAAACATGTTAGTCTAAAATGTGAACCAGACTAACACAGCTACCTGTCTGAAATATACTCCAAGCAGGAAGCTAATGGTCTATACAAATGTGTATGTTTTTACAGTATTTGCATTTGACTATGTGTTAGTAGAATGTCCTTCCAGAATCACCATGGCAAGATTGGGGACTGCAAGAGTAAGCTCCTAATGCTTAGATATACAGTGGAACCTCTACTTATGAAATTAATCTGTTTTGGAACGGTGGACGTAAGTTGAAACGTTTGTAAGTAGAAGCACCATTTCCCATAGGAATGCATTGAAAACCAATTAATCCATTTGGGCCGAAGAAAAATCACCAAAAAAAAAGAGCACAGCAAGCCCAGTCGGAAGGTGCTCCGTTGCTATGTCTTTAAGAAAAAACCTCAAAAAAACAAACATCAGAGCCACCTCCATTGCTGAGTTTTAAGAAGGAAAAAAACCTCCAGAGCCCTGCTGACACACATACACATGCGCACACACATGCTCACTCCTCTGAAGCAGAGCACAGAAACATACCCTCCCGGCAGACACACACACACACTCTCACTCCGAAGCAGAGCCACTAACAACACAGCACAGAAACACCAAAACCCACCCAGAACAGTTTTTTAAAGGAGAAAACAGGAGCTTACCTCCCTGCACACACACACACGGACTCACTCCGAAGCAGGAGGCTCTCCCAAGCCTCCAACTGTGACGCATCCTATAACTGCCAAAAGAGCTACAGCACAAAGAAGCAGCCTCGGCACCACCTACAGTTAGAAAGTTGAATTGCCTGCCTTTTTCTGTTCATATCTTGAAGCTCTGTTCGCAAGTAGAAGCAAAATTTTGCGAACGGAGCTGTTCATAAGTTGGATCGTTCGTAGGTAGGGGGACGTTTGTAAGTAGAGGTTCCATTGTACAGGGCAGGGCTTACGTGCTTATAAACCTCATGTACCTGACCAGGGCTTTCTTCCATCTGTGTACCAGTTGGACGATCCAAAACAACAACAGCAACAAAACAATGCTGAGGGGCAGAGAGGTAGTTTGGGAAGTGGCTTTGCTCTTTTCCTCTATGGTGTCATTAACTGACTAAATTTTCTTTTAAAGTCTGCTGATGGTTGGGAGGCTTGGACTGAAGATGTACGAAAAGCCACACGAGGGATAACAGGACATTATCTTCCGAAATGATAACTGGACAAGTTGATAACAAATGAAATGATTGGAATATGTAGCAGGATGAATGCTACATAGAATGGGAGAACACAAAACACACCCTAAAAGTAAATGGAGACAATAAATGGCTTACTTGTAACAACAGAAATTAGCAGTCTTTGTATACAAAAATGGCTTTCCACGTTCCAGAAGTAACATGTAAGATATGAAATGTGGTCAGACAATTTCATTATAATGTGTGTATATACTCTCAGTGTTAAGACTATACAAGTGCATGGAGGCAAGGAACTGTTTTAACTGAGAAAAATATTACAAATCATGAACTGGGGAGGGAGATCTATCTGAATCAGAGGCTGAAATTTTATTATGTAATGTAAGCAGTCATAAGTTTTGCTCTATTCCTCATGGGTAAAAAGAGATCCCACCTCAGTTTTTGCAAGGAACAGAATGAAAGGTATGACTTTGCTTACATTATGCAATAGGATTTTGGTCAGAATCTGATCAAGGTACTCTTTTGGATTGCAACTCCCAGAATCTCCCGGCCAGCATGTCCTGCTGCCTAAGAGGGTTCTGGGACTAATTCTCCAGAAATTAAAATGTCTGCATTTTGGGCTGAATAGAGCATCTCCTGGCTGAATATAGTGCTGTATAGAGACAAGAGAATTGAGGTGAGCGCCTGGCCACTCATGGTCCCTGTTGCCTTATCATGAAACATTAGACAGCATGCTGGTATAGCTGTGCAGTGTTACTCTACTGCATTCATATGCCAAGACCACTTGTTACGGTGTAAATGGAAAATAAATGTAATATGCAGAGGAATAAGCATGATGGTCAAAATTATTCTGTGCTAAATTGGTATATTTTTGTGCTCTTTCTCAGATTGGCTTGTTAACAGTCTAAGATATTAAAATACATTTTTTCATAATATATTTTGGTGTTCTGTTTTTAATGCAGGTGTAGCAGAAAAGGGAAACATGCATATGTGTTAAAATGGAAAATAAATGTAATATGCAGAGGAATAAGCATGATGGTCAAAATTATTCTGTGCTAAATTGGTATATTTTTGTGCTCTTTCTCAGATTGGCTTGTTAACAGTCTAAGATATTAAAATACATTTTTTCATAATATATTTTGGTGTTCTGTTTTTAATGCAGGTGTAGCAGAAAAGGGAAACATGCATATGTGTTATTTCTGAACAACAAGTCATGCACAGTACAAGAATCTTCTGTTATGAATCTTTAAAGAGAGACTATGATTGAGTCTAGAAATCAATAGATTATGCTTTGGTCAGGGGCATCCCAAGGCATTCTACAGCCTGAGATGAAGGACAGGACGATAACTCCCACATTTAACCTATAGAAGCTGACGATATTGAACCTTATTTACACAGTGGTTGGGAGTTTACAGGAGATGTAGTCCCAGAAAGTAACTTTTCTAAGTGTACTAGTTTAGAATGATTGGATGAATCTTTAAAAAGTTAGTCCTATGTTGTTGCTAGCTGCCGGCCAATTTTTCACCTTATGACTGTGATATTGAAGCCAAAATTATCGCTGTAAATTCTGAGTGGGTAGGCTGCTGAACAAAGCCCAGACAAGATATACACTGCAGAAATCTGAAATAGCTTCACTACAAAGCAATAAATTCTAAAGTAGACAGGGGAGGAGTTAACCATATAGGCAGCAGAACCATTTATTATTTTAAATATTTTTACCCTGCCTTTCTCTTTAAAAAAGAACCAAAGCAGCTTGCACCATTAAAAGACAATACTTAAAAGCTAAAAACAGTAAGTATACAAATATTTAAAAAGAACCAAACAAATATCACACTAAAAAATGATAAACAACATCAATACCAAAACGAAATTCAAAGCAACAAGGCAGAACACTCCCATTTGAAGACCCTTCTCAGATAGCCATTCACTAAGGGAAAACCTGGCCTTATTAAAGATATGGCCAGCCTTTGAGACTCAGTTGTTGAAAAGAGCTTGGAATATTCCTTCAAAGAATATTGCTTACATTATACAAAGTTATTTTGGTCAGAGCCTGAGCAAGACACTCTTGGACTGCAACTCCTAGAATTTGCTGGCCAGCATGTCCTGCTGCCTAAGAGGGTTCTGGGACTAACTGTCCAGAAATTAAAATGTCTGCATTTTGGGCTGAATATGGTGCTGTAAAGAGACGAGAATTGAGCGTCTGGCGACTCACGGTCCCTGTTGCCTTATGAAACATTGCTTGTTTCATGATAAATAATACTGCTTATTATTTACCATGTAGAAAAACTGGTTGGAATTAATGTTCTGTTAGCGGGCCTGCTGGATCTGCCAGAAGCGCTACTTCCCTTCCTCCCGTAAACATGACAGCCTCAGGGGTTCATTCTAAATTCTGTTTTATTAGCATTCAGTACCACTCTAAGAGCAGTATAAATAATGAGCCTGTGGAAGAAGAGAGAAAAGATGCATAAGGTCCATCTGAATTTTGTTGCTATCTGCTGTCAAAAAGCTCCCTACTTTCAGAGACCTTATGAATTAAGAGATCTCCAAAACATTCAGTCTAATTGCTCAGATCTCAGAAACACACCTGATCTCTTTACACATCGGAGCTGGTTGTCAGAACCTGTGCTAAAACTGGAGATTGGGGCTGTTACCAGAATGTTCTGTATAAAAGTAGAAACGGGGTCACAGTCACTGAAGTTGCCAGGTCATTTGAGCTGATCCCTCACCTCACAATGTCACACACAATATCTGGGGTGCGTTTACTTGTTCTTCTGCTAATGTTATCTATGCCATCCTTTGTCAGCAATGCCCTTCTGCTCTCTACATAGGACAGACAGGACAATCTTTGTGTAAAATACAGGTTCTTAACTTGTGGTCCATGGGCACCAGGGGGCGACTGTGTCATCACAGGGGGTTCATGAAGGCTTGAAGAAATATTATGATGCTTTGCAGTTGAAATAAAAAACATGAATGAATGAAATAAAAAGAAACATAGAACAAAATCTCAATTTCCATTGCTTGTTTGTATAAAACGTGGCTTATTCTCCACATGAGTCTCTGCCTAATCTACCTGTACCAAATTCTGATGTAGCTGATACCAACCCACTGTCTCCATCTGAGCACTTCTTACAACTAGAGATGGGGGTATTTGTATATGAATATCCCCACACAGATGGTGTTAACGAGGGTCCAGCCCCATGGAGCCGGACGGTCCACTCATCAATCCGCTGTGGACGTGGACCGTGTGATTCTACCAATGTATCTGCAGCACGTGATCCGTTCGCCACTCTTCGACCTTGCAGTGAGACTTGTCCTTCTGCCTCCCACCAGGAGTATAGCGAAGGTGATGGACCTTGATGTCCAACAGCTAGTACCAACAGAACCAGACAAGGTTTATGAGGACATCAACCAGGACCAGACCCCACCAGTTTGCATGGGGTTTATCCCTTATCTCCTCAAGCTCATTAAGCAATCATGGTGTAAACCCTCCTCGGTACCGCAAATGTCCAGATGTACCAAGAATTTATACAAGACACATGGAGACAATACTACCTTTCTCTCCAAACATCTGCCTTCTAATTCAGTCATAGTTGATGCTACACAAAATAGAGCTCGTAATCGCTCTAACGCTACTCCTAATAATCGTGAAGGTAGAAAGCTTGACATCATTGGTAGGAGAGTCTATTCTTTAGCTTTCTTCACCCTTCGAGCTGCCAATTACTGTATTTTTTGCACCATAAGACTCACTTTTTTCCCACAGAACAGGGGTGTGGAAAGTCTGTGCGTCTTATGGAGCGAAGAAAACAGATTATATTTTCCTGTTTTCTTCTCCTAAAAAATTGGTGCGTCTTATGGAAAGGTGCGTCTTATGGAGCGAAAAATACGGTACCTAGCTACTATGGGAGCATACCATCGCTATCTCTGGAACAAGGCTCTCCTAGCACTCCAGGCGGCACCCAAAAAATACAAAGCCCATGGCCTCACTTTCTTCCAAGAGGCCATGGCCTTAGCCCATCAAGAATGAATCACAGTGTGTCATGTCACCAAGGCTGCTTCTAAACACATGGTCACTGTCATCGCACTCCACAGACATGCATGGCTTGGATCTGCCCATATTTCAGAGGACTCTCGTCTGCGCATTGAGGACTTACCATTCAATGGTGAGGGCCTCTTCAATGACAAGACCGATTAAATTTTTGACAACATACAAAAAATTAGAAAGACTGGTCGCTCCTACAATAAGCTGCCCAGAGTAGATTAATTGATCTAGATCATAGGTCGGGAAACAGGGGTAATTACCCCAAATTGGATAAAAGTGAAAACCCTGGGGGTAATGAGCAGACTGCTACCCCCTCCCTCCCACCCCCACCCTCTGCAGCCAAACCTCAAATTGTAAGCCACATCTCCCTGTTACTTCCTTGGTTGCAGCAGGGCACTTGTAAATCCTCCATTTGTTCAGAGATCAGAGATAAGCCTGCTTGATTGGTTACAGCTGTGGATTAGCCCCAGGCAACCAATTAATCAATCTGGGGCTTCTGAATGACTGCTTCCTCCGGAAGTGACTGCAAAGAAGCAGCAGGAGGGAAAGGATCAAGGAGTAAGCAAGGGAAGGAGGGAAGAAAGGTGCGAGAAACTGAGGATTTCATCAAGCTTATTTAAATGTACAAAATGGAGGGAGGGAGGGAATGGAGGCTGGGTGGATGGATGTGTGTGTGTGTGTGTGTGTGAGAGAGAGAGAGAGAGAGAGAGAGTGAGAGTGAGAGACTGACTCAAAATGAACAGGCAAGCAAAAGAAACTGAATCAAGGTGGGGGGGGGAAGGGTGGCTTTTTAAGGTGCTGTCTAGGTTTATCATTGCTTTCCTTCCAAGAAGCAGGCATCTTTGAATCTTGTGGGTTTATTACATGTGATGCATCCTGCTAGTTGGGTACACAGCCTGTGTAGATTCAATAATATTTTTAATTCAAATAATGTATGATTTCCTTCCTTTCAAATCAAGGGGGTAAAGTCGGTGTATATAAATTTTTGGGGGGTAAAAGGTAAAAAAGTTCCCTGATCCCTTATCTAGATGGGCGGGGTAAAAGTTGAAAAAAAAAGCAATCATATTACAGGCCCCAGTGCTACCAATGGCACCACTCTTTTCCCTACAGACAACGTAAGGATAGGCAAAGATACTTAACATCTTCATCATCATCTTTCCAGCCTTGCCACAACAATCAATGACTGCGCCCTCGACAGTCTTTCAGGCAACCTGATAAGAAACCAAAGCATTTTTTTTTACTCTCCCACTGCCCAGATCCACCCACCTCCTGTTTTCTCTCGCCACCACACATCTCGCAGCCCATTTTCCAACTTGGGCCTCTATCACTACTGATTCTTGGGTCCTCTCCATCATCACCATTGGGTATGTGATCGAATTCTCTCTTCTACCACCATCGAGAATGATCCTTACTACTCCATCAACTGTACTACAATAGAAAATTCAGTCTCTAATGCTAAAGGACACCATCACTCCTGTTGTCCCCCCAGACGTCAACCCTAGAATCTATGAATTCAACGCCCCTCCATTTGGCCTCTCCACTGCCCACCAAGTCTTCACCAAGTGCATGGCCCCAGTAGCGGCTTACCTTCGCACCCAGAGAGTCTCCATCTTCCCATACATAGATGATTGGTTGCTAGTCGCTTCTTCTCGTTCACAGGCTACACAAAACATAAATTTAACTCTCTCACTTCTAGCAGATCTGGGCGAAAAAGTCAATAGAGACAAGTTTGTCCTCTTACCATCACGTTCATAGGAGCTGCTCTTGACTCATGAAGAGTTTGAGCTT